TAACGGTACACAGGAGTCACGGTTCGGTATCTACCTCGGTTTTGGAGTCATGGTTTACATTTACATGCTTGTGGAGCGCATCACAAAAATGAATCAAAACTCAGCATATAAGCCACTAGCAAGCTCTTGTGTGCCATCTGAACTCTTGTTTTGGGTTAGTCTCCTATTCTTTTGCTCATTTTTCCTGTAATTGCATGCCTTCTTCTGGAGATCGCCTGTGACTGACTTTATTCGTCGTCTGTACCGAACCGTGACATCCATATCATTATTGTTCGGGACGAATACATGTACTGTTATACCCCTAATATATATATATATATATATATATATATATATATATATATGATGTCTGTCTTGATAAGCCAGATCTATTCTTCATAAAATTAGCTCAAATGGGTGGTGAGTATAAAAAAAAAAAAAAAAAAATGTCTAATGTTATACCTCAAAGTCCTTCTTGTCAGTACAAAGCAGTAGCGGTGCTCTGCAGCAGCTGACATAAGCCACCACAGCCATTAGAAGGAACGAGGGATGATTTGAGAAAACGTTGTCAAACAGTTTTAGCCACTCTTCTGTCATCAGAACCTCAGAGAACAGGGTCTCAAGAAGGGGCCACACGTACAACTGGAGAGGAAAAGCAGTGTGTAGGGCATTTTCTTCATCACCTTTGGCTTAAAGACAAAAAATTCTTTGAAAGTCAAAGTCTGTGTCATATAAACACTTTTGTCAACGTCTTTTACCTGTGAGGTAATGCCACAGGCAACAAAATGCTGAAGCAGCTCTTTATCATGATGGGCCAGCACATTCTCAGCCAGGCTCAGCACATTAAGCGGAGGGTTGGGAAAGTACTCAAACCAGTGTTGGCACCAGTTCACTGCAAAAAAGCAATCCCAGACACTTAAAGTCACTCCACTATGGATAAAATCACTGAATCACTGCCAAAGAGACCAGTGTACATCACCCAACACCACACTATGTCTTACACTACCCACCAATGACGGTGGCCACTACTTCAAAGCAGATCAGTGGATTGTTCTGGAACAGCTTGACAAATGGGAAGGCCAGCAGGGGGAGATAATCAGTCTCTCCAAAGACAGCAGCCCAGTGAGCAAGAGCAGAAAGCACTCTGTCAGGGTAAACATGAAAAGACAAATATAACAAATTTAAGATTCTGACATAACATTATGGTGGGCAAATCTATATGTATATAATTAAATCATCAATTGATTGATGCTGTGTCCACCTCTGTAGGCCTCTCTGTAGTTTGTGGCTTTTGATGGGGTACCGCTCCTGAAGGCACATGTATGCTGAGTGCAGGCCTTTGTCTGTCAGACTACTGAAAGCTGCATGGTTCTCAGGAAGATGCAACAGAGAACGCCAAATAAACATCCTGCAGAAAAAAACAAAACAAATATAGACACACAAATAAAACAGAGATGCATAAATCAACCAAATATCATTTGCATGATACATTTTTTATATTACCTGTATTTGGCTGGGTACTCTCCAAACGCTCTTAGTAACGCTTGTAGTCTTTTCTTGTTAAGGCCATTGGGCAAATCATTCTACACAAAATAGATTAAATAGATAGGATTATAATCAGGTTATATGTTGTGGTTGGAGAATGTATTAAAAAGGCAATACAGAAGGTGTCACATGACCCCAACCCCACAAAAAATAAATCAATTTAATAAAATTTAAGCTGAATAAAAACAGAACCTCTTTGTCATCCAGAGTGGAAACAGCAGGTGGTAAAACTTTGGATTGTATTCTGCGTCCTGATGTTTTCACTGAACGCTGACCTGCCCCAGTGTGCAATCCTACATTGATGTTGCCTTTAGTGACCTGTTTCAACAAAGGCTGTGGAGGCTGCAAAACCAAACACTTGTAATTAACATTTTTAGGAGTAAAAAAAAAAATATTATTCTTAAAGGTCCCATGACATGAAATTGACACTTTCTGAGTTTTTTTAAAGGGGTGGTTTACTGCTTTTTTTCTTTGCATGATTGTGTTTATGGGGTGCAATATAACATATAATTATGTTTTTTCTTTTTTAAAAAGTCTTATTTTTCATAAATTTCACCTTTATTGTAGGCCGCTTTCTCCTCTGTTATTTGAACAGACATGCCCCTTCAAACAGAACATTCAAATCAGAGGCTAAAATCAGGTTAGGAAAAAATGCCTTTTATTTCTAAATTATAACTATTTTTGATCTAAAAAACATACTAACAATATAAGCGCAACCCAGGAAACATTATAAAATAATAAAATAACCCCATGTCATGGGACCTTCAACACAAACATATTATACTACCGTTCATATTATACTACCGTACCGTTCTTCTATCTATCTATCTATCTATCTATCTATCTATCTATCTATCTATCTATCTATCTATCTATCTATCATTTACCATTTACAAAAATAATACATAATTATTAATTAATAGCAATATATTTACCTTACTGATTTCTGGGGAAAGACTTCGTACATCATAGATTTTAAGAGCACCACTGTCCATCACAGCAACAATATGGTGGCCTTTAGGACAAATGGTTGCTGAGTTGATGGCATCCTCATAGGACCCTATTTCAAAGAGCTGCTTGCATGATTGAATGTTGATAAAGCGCATGACACCATCTTGGCTCAAAACGCCCAGAGTCTGAGGACAGATTCATGTATCAGTGTGATTATTTCCAGAATATAATTATAAACTGGATCACAGGGTTAAAATTTTTTAATTAGGTTCAGTAGTTTTTATTCTTCTCATTGCTGAGTGTTAGGAAAAAAAAACAAGAATGTCTCAGGAACCAGAGCACAATATGTTGAGGTCAAACAAAGATGATTCCATATTACACAGTACAATGACATACAGTTGATAATAAGTGGATGTTGTAACAAAGTAAATTATAAGGCATGATGTCAAAGTTTTTTTAAGGTGGCAGACAACTGATCAGTACCTGGTTGGATCCGGCATCAAAACTATCCCCCAGGAAATCCATGCATCTTACTGTCTTGACATTTGGAGGCATCAGAATTACTCTCAAGAGCTGTCGACTGTCCAGACACCACAAGTGGACTAAGTTGGAGCGTCCAGCCGCAGCAAGTGTTTTCCCATCTCTACAAAGAAACAAAATGATTACATATGATACAGCACACCAGTCGGTGCTTTACCAATTTAAGGGTCTAAGTGTAACAGCCTTACTGTGTAACAGCAAATGTCTTGTAGTGGATTCTGGGCCCATCCTGTGGAACAGGCAACTGATACTTGCAAAAAAGAGTGTCACTTTCCCAAGCAAAAATGGAGTCGTCGCTAAAACAGCTGAGAATGGTGTTGCTGTGTGGGAGAAAGAAAACCTACAACAAACACACAGGAATGAAGCAGGGGACTGATGCAGAGCTGTTACTATAATATGATGCTTAAAAGGATTATTAATTTCGGCTTTTAATCACACATTTGTTCCGTGAACATGCATAGAGCACTCAAATATAGTTGACGAAAGCCTAATTGGTTCTCACGTGTCAAGCAAGCATGATTTCTCATTTTTGGACAAACTAACTCTTTAAGGATGGATAAATTATGTCTAACCTTTTGTATGCCAACTGATTGACGAATATTAAGCTTCCTTTCTCTCTGGAAGGTGTCAAGGTTCCAGAGCTGAGCGGTATCAGAAGAAGTGCTGATGGCGTAGCTGCCTGAACTGTGGACGGACAGGGAAGAAATGGCACCCTCGTGACCCCGCATCCAGCTCACTAGCTGTCTGGTGTCTGGAAACAGTAGTTCGTCAGAAGTACAGTTAAACATTTGCAGGTCTATGGAAGAAAATATAATATGTCATACCAAGACTGTAAAAAAAACTTACCTTTGTCAAAGCACTTAATTGAGTAATCAGCAAGAGCAACCAGGAACTCTGTGGTTCTTCTCAAGTTGAAAGCTAAAGCAGTGCATGCTTGGCTTGTTCTCTGGACCAGCTTGAATCTGTCAAACGATGACGTACAATACGATATTACAGTGAAATATTTATTATTATCAATTAACAGGAAAGAACACTTATGGAAAGGTACATGGAACTTTCTATACCTGTTTCTGCTAATGTCAAACACATAAATATTGCCATGATGATCACCAGCAAGAAAGGACTCTCCTGTGGTGTCGAATGCCACTTGTAGGAATCGAACCGTTTTGGTTTGACGAGCAGACGCGTTTCGGATCACAGTGGCCAAGACGCTGTGAATACATAAATGCAGCATTAACGTTAATTAATCCTTTCTCATTGTATTAAGTTTTCTCCGTGCTTGTTATGTCAAACTTACCCATATTTTGTTGATACAAATTTTCTGTGCCATATTTTCCCATCTTCTCTGGACCCAATATCTGTAACTTGCATGTTTAGCAAAAACTGAGACCCTGCAACTGTTACTCCAGCAAACCGCCTCCCGCCTCACACAGCGGGAAATTCAATGACTGCAACGATTTTCATAAATGTATTAATGCCTGTCTGTCATACTCGTTATTGAACCTTAATCTCATATCAAGATTAACTGTAAAAGTGACAAAGAAGTTTATGCTAGAGTTTGTTAGAGGGTTGGAATAAAGAACCAAGTAGCAAGACGCAAGTTACAGTTAGAGGAAGTGACGCATGTAAACACTTATTGGCATTATGGGTATTGAAGTCGTGCGGTTTTAAGGAAATGTCCGTATGTCACGTGAACTTACGTGTTAAACAAAATAAAAGTATACATAATACAAATAAATAAATACATCTTAAAAAGTAAATCAGTCATTTAAATTCGTAATTATTCGTATTTAGCAACGCATGTTATAATTTTATATTTTGCAATAGTAATTTGAAATACAGAATATCTATAAAAAATACTATATTTATTTTAAAATTAAATAAATGCCTTTAATGTCCTTATTTAATTAATTCATGGCAGTCTGTGACACAATATCTGTGATATTTTGGTCTTGACACCTAAATCAGTTAGGAGACAGCGGTGATCGCTTTTTTCAAATACATTTATTTCAAAATATTGCTCCAAAATGACAAATGTGTCACCTTCTTCATAAAAAATGCCTTTTTACAGTATCTCAGGTTTTAATCACCTAGTAACATAAATAAAATCATAAGCAATTCCCACAAGACAAATCCAGACCTACATGAATACATTGAGAAATGATTACAGAATAACTATTTAAACATCAGAACATCAATCGTAATAGTTACATAGAAGCTTATAGAAAACAAATGAAACAGATGCACAAATGTATTAAAATGCCAGCCAACATATTTATTTTTAAACATGTCTGTTCAACAAATAAATACTAATATACCCATTAAAACATGAGAAACAGTCAGTAGCAGTCATATTCAGTAGTAAACAAGGCAGCATCAAATATAATGGCCACTTCAAGGCACACAAGTTTAGAAAAATCCATGATGAAGGATAATATTTCAGTGTGTTTGGCAGCACCAGATGAGCACCTGAGCATTGGTCAATTGAAAGCACATAGTATGCTGCTGTGTACAATCATGGGTCTTGGGTTCTGGCCTCATTCAGGCCTGAGTTGACTAACTGCCAGCGTCTGCAGCACGAGGGGACCTGGCCCGGCCATCTTGATCACTGTGCCCCCCTCCCTCCAGATCACAACCCAGTAACTAGATCTTCCCTCTTGCCCACTATTTCACATCTTTTAACCGATCACATCAGGATCAGTCTCTGTATCCTCCTCATCCTCTGAATTCAAAAACTCAGTGACTGTCATACTGTTGTGATCCCCTAAAATGACATACTCTATGTTGGATCTCTCCATGTGAATGATGTTGCCACTTATTGTTTCCGGCACTGGGATCAGTTCATCATTGCTCTGAGTGGCAGCCATTTCATCCACTGTTTGTAAAAAAATAAAGAAAAAAATAAATTCCATTTAACATAAACATATAAATAAGTCTATAACGCTAGAAGAATATGACCTATATCTCCTAGAGCTCTTACCTTTGATTGCATCATTCCGAGCAAGCAAAGATTGCTGGTCACAGGTAATGCATTGGCTATTGTTGTTCCCAATAATGCAGTTGGTCAGGGAAGAGTTTTGTATGTTAATAATACAAGGTGTAAATTGCATTTTTTCTGTTAAAGAAAAGACAAAAAGCAAAAGACAACAATATGAGCACTCACACGACATTGCATCAAAGTGATGTAGGACAGCAAAACAAAGCATCTAGTCACTCGCACTTTTGATAAGTGTGCGGTTTTACATTTCAGTACTTTCGAAACCAAGTGTGAGGTAATCTTTCAAAAAAAACAAAACAAAGACATAACAACAGGAAGTAAGGTAATATATAAACTACTGAACAGGAAATGCAAATCATTTCACTACCCTGATGCAGGCAAAGAAAAAAAAACTTGTCTATAACAAGGTACATTACCAGTGAAGCAAAATATGCAAAATATCTACCTGAGAAAGGAATTCCCTCCATCTGTTGATGGTCCTCAAGACCAAATTGTGCTGAATGACAATAAGTGCATAAAAAAGAAAGAGAAAAATAAATAATGAATAAACAATTCAGACATTGGCATAGAACTATTTCTAGAGATTTGATAGATTGTCCAACCTGGACATCCTGTAACATTCTCATACAACGCCGGGTCACAAATTCCGAGGCATTTGAGGAATGAGCTGCATGCATGTTGACCTTTTTTAATGACAATCTGCATCATCTTGGAGGCTTTCTGCATGTCTGTGGCCTGCGATGTGATAACCTGTGATTCATACGCTGTGATTGTGCGGGATCGGTACAAGCAGTTGGACATCCTTTGAACTAAAATCCCAGTCATACACTTACTGAGGAAGCCCAAATATTGCTGTAATTGTTGATCTGTTGAAAAAGAGAACGCGAGAGAATTGTTTAAATCACAGGAAGCTTAAAAAATAAATGTAATACCCCCAAAATAAATTGGATGCATACACTATTGAAAATAAATGTTCCAATGGCTTTCACAGCGACGCCATAAAAAAACAAAACAATTTTGGTTCCTCAAAGAACCTTCCAGTGAACATTTTTTTCTCAGTGTGAAGAACATATTAAAAATCTAAAGCAACTTTTTCCACTATAAAAGGTTTGATGCCAGTTAAAAACCTTTATTGTAAAAAAAGGTCTTCGGCTAAAGTTGGACAAATAAGTTAAATACTCATTTGCTTTTACCTTAAAATGTTAGATAAAATGTAACAGTAATTTTCAGAAACTGCTCATGAAAGGTTGTTGCTCTTAATGTTTTTCTACTATTTAAACTGCATTATGAATTTTTGATAAATACAATAAATTCACAAACAAATTAACGTTACATGTGAAGCATTTAAATTAAAAGGGTTGTGTCATTACAAAAAACGAACAGGTTGAGAGTAGATTTTTTTTCTATCTGTGAATACCAATAACTTTTAAACTTTTGCATCGTTCACACTGTATTTGCATCATTACTTAATTACATCATATACTGCTGAAAAAGCGATTTGCGCTTCCTTGTTACATTATTTATTTTCATAAAACAAACTACAAACAAACAAAAACAGGCCTGACAGAACGAGATATGGGTATGAGTTCGGAACTTACCAGAGAATATAACAACCGAGCTGTCCATCTATTAGTAGACGCAAATAATTCCAAATACAAGAAAAGTGGTTGTGAAGTCATGTAAAAACGAAACTGTTGCTGCCATTGATGCGCATGCGCGTTGAGAATGTAATTTCCACACATGAAATCCCCCTTGTAACCGCAGATCTGAATGTCATGCGATCAACAACAACAGCAACAACATACAAGACAACAGTTTTAAGTTTAAATTCTTCAATAACAAATTAATGCACCAATAGGCCTACACTGCATTTATTTATTTTGTTGATTGTTTATTTAAATCAAATTAAAGGAAAAAGAGAGAGAGACAATATCTAGTTTATTTTGTGACTAAATAGCCGAGTGTTAAATGACCTACACGTTATTTATTAAAAATAAAATCATCTTTGCACATTTGTAGCGCAACAGTGATGTACATCAAGCCGTCTAAAAGCGTCACAAAGCTTGATATCTATTGGTAGTTGCTGTTATAACAGGGAGGTTCCGCTGCCCTTGATTATGAGGGGCATCTCAGAGCAGGGTATAATGGGAGCAGAGCGTAAAAATATAAATATATGATCTACAGTCCACCGTCGTTTGGAGGCACTTTCAAATAGTCGTAGAAATGAAGCTTTGGAGCACGGAGCACATATTCAGGTACAGAATTTGCGTTTATCTGCACAGATTCCAGCATCCTCTGTCATGATTTGCATCCCGATTCCCTTTAGTGCCGCTGTGATCGGGAAACAGCAGCACGTCATTTGAACATTTCTGTAAATGTCGCTTGTAAGCAATTTGTTCTTGCACATAACACAAATCTCAGCATTATTTGCTAATATTCATTAAATTGGGCCTAGCCGGCTGCAGTCTGTCTATTATGCGCAGTCGTTACAGCACAACGCACTCAAAACTTATATAGTAACATATTAAATATTTTGTAAAAAAAAAATAAAAAAAATAAAAAATAATATTCTTTCCTCTCTAAATTTCAAATAATGATATGTTGTATATTTCCCTGTTGAAAAGAAAAGAAAACTAACTTGTTTTTTCCCCCACACTTGGATTCAGCATCCCCAAAACAGAATTGTGCAAAACCAGTATATTTTCTAGTTTCCTTTTTTAAACCCGGTCATAGTTTCACTCCAAAATGATTCATTATGAGGAAATAAATTATCTCAAACAAACCTTTATTTTAAGATTCCAGCCTCTCGTTATGGACGTGATGCTTGTTGTTGAAAATAGGATGAACACTGGCCAAAATTCTTTCTGCTCATATTTAAGCTAAATTTCCCTTGATTGTGGTTTGCCCATGAGATAAGAGTCAGTAGAGTGAAGTTCCTCATAAACCACGGTAAGCCATTGTCATGAGTTTTTGTCTGTATTCACGCAGCTATCCATGGGAGACGGTGATCAAAGCAGCCATGAGGAAGTACCCCAATCCAATGAACCCTAGTGTTGTTGGAGTGGACGTTCTTGATAGGAACTTGGACACACATGGACGTCTACACAGTCATCGGCTCCTCAGCACAGAGTGGGGTCTTCCAGGGATTGTCAAAGCGGTCAGATGATATGCTTCACAGAGCTATATGGGTTATGTGATCATAAAATACTGGGTTAAAGATTATGAAAATGTGAAAACTGTTGAAGCTCCTTATATTTTAAATCTAATATTTACAATCGGGTATGCTGGGTGATGCGTTGTGTCAAAAATGCACCTGGTGCGCACGCTAGATGGGTTTATGGATGGGTTTATAATAAGCGTGTTCACTCTAGACAGAGTAGCTTCTCAGGCCCCGTCCACACTACTACACCTCCCGTCCAGACTAAAACGGAAAAGACGAAGACCTAAAACGGAGAATTTTAGAAACGCTTCAGCTCCATTTTGCGATTTGAATCTCCAGAAGGCGTTTTAGTGAAGCGGAGGACTTTAGAAACGCTGACGCAGAGTCTCACGCTCGGCTCTATGATTGGGTATCATCAGTCATGACGTGTCCTTACCTGATTCGTCAGCCACCGTTTACACTGGCACGCGCATGCCCAGTGTTGGTGAATGTTCACATGATCCACGTTTTCAGTCGTTTTAATGTGGACGGAGGTCAATTCTAATACGCAGATAAAACGCTGGTGTGTAAAAACGCTCGTTTTTTTTAACGAAAACGAAGTCGTGTGGACGGGGCCTCATTTGCTTAATCACACGAGACATGGCACACACCATGCACGTCAAAGTAGCCGGAGCATCTTTTCTCTATTTACTAATGTGACGAAACACACGGGCGAGTGACTTATGTACTCATATTCCTATACGGAAACCATCCCGCCCAGTCTATAATATAAACACAAATAATAAATAGGTTTACCTGATAGAGAATCATGGTATGACAAAAACATGTTTTGGAAGGATTGATTTAATTTTAGTTAATTTTGAACAAAAAAGTTAGTGTAGGCTACCTTTAAAATGTATTGCAGTATTTATCAAATTAGCATCATGAAACATTATTGTCTATAACAGTGGTTCCCAAACTTTTTGACTCCAAGGCCGTCCATTGTCTACAACAGTATTTGAAGGATTCATGACTTTTTCAGTTGTGTTTATGTTATGTTATGTTTTGATATTCTATGTAAGTTATGTTTACTAATGTTTATTAAATATTGGATTTTTTAAATACATTTTTACCCGATAAACCTGCTAAAATATTTTAATGCTTGGCATGAGTAGTAAAAATGCATATTTATATAAAAAAATGCCTATGGAGATTTTATTCATTTAAATTTTTCCTGAAATTACACTTCTATAAGAAGTGCTACCTCATATATTCAGGATTTCAAGACCACAAGAATGCTGTTTTTTCAAATATAAAATAGTTTTGGCTTATTTCAAATAATTTTACGTAATCTTGAGGCTCCCTTGGAAGATAGCTGAAGCTACCTGATTGAGGACCACTGATTTATAAAGATCTTAATTTCCTCCCATTAGATTTTAGGGACAAATCGAACCACCACATATGTACAAGAACATTCCATTGTGGACCCAGAAGAAAAAAAAATGGAGCTTTGCTCAACAAACGTAAGTCTTTGTTTACCATTAAACAACTTTCTTTTCTTTTTTTCTTTACAGAAAAACAAATCTAATCATATTATTTACTTTTCTCCTTCAGATAACCCTAACCAATTTAATATCTGTTGATGAAAGACTTGTCTACACACCCCATCCAGAAAATCCAGAGGTGTAAGTAAATTCTTACTTAATTGTTGTTTTTGACATGTAATAGTAATATCTGCATATCTATGCACATCAATGTAAACCATACTAAAAGAAAGTAATCCAATAATCCTTTAAACCAAAAGATTTGCTTTATTTTTGCAGCACTATATTAACACAAGAGGCGATCATCACGGTGAAGGGGGTCAGTTTGAGCAGCTACCTTGAGGGACTGATGGCTCTTTCCATGTCAGCGAATGCAAGAAAGGTAAATCGTTGTTATGTCTAATGTAATGAAAAATATTTATCAAATATCCTTGGAATATCCCTCTTAACATGTTGCCTTAGCATGTGTTACGAATCCTTGATCAAAGTTAGCTATTCTCTGCATAATGGGAACTTAGTAGTTCCTATTTTCCTGGTGACACAACCGAAGAACGTCCAAAAATAAGCAACTTAAAAGCACAGATAATGTGGTTTTGTCCCTATCTAACACAAACCCTGTTTTTTTTTTGTTTGTTTTTTGGTGGATGTTTTTTTGGTAACACTTTACAATAAGGTTCGTTAGTTAACATTAGTTAGTTAATATGAACTAATAATGAATAGCACATATACAGCATTTGTTAACCTTTGTTAATGTTATTTTCAACATTTACTAATACTTGATTAAAATCTTGGTAACATTAGTTAATGCACCGTGAACTAACATGAACAAACAATGAACAGCTTTATTTTCATGAACTAACATTAACAAAGATGAACAAATGCAGTAACAAATGCATTGCTCATGGTTAGTGCATGTTAGTAAATCTATTAACTAATGTTAACTAATGAACCTTAATTAAAGTGTTACCGGTTTTTTTTCTATAAAAAAAGAAGTAGTTTCATTAATAGTTTCATCTCTTTTGAAAACAACCAAAAACTGCTGGAGATTATTTTATATAGCATACAAGAAGTATTATAAGCATTATATAAGCCTCTTAATGAAGGATGACTATTAAACTCATAAGCTCTATTTTTGCCATAGGGATGGGATGCCATTGAATGGATCATTCAAAACTCTGAAAGGGAAAATGTTCCTTTGTGTGACCTGTGTTGAACAGGCAATATTTCATGAAGCACCTGTTTTGGATGGTACAAACCAGACATGACATGTAGTTGGCTTTATCATATCCATTGGTACTAAAGGCTATTTAATAACTTGTTTATAAGCGGATGGGGCATACATGTTTGTAATATAAATATACATACATACATACATGTTTATTTATTTACATTAATTATTTATAATTTTCATGCTGAGGCATAGATAAGGCATAAATGTTGTAAAAAAAAATCTACATTATTTATTTATTTATTTAATTAATGTCTGTTGCATGATAAGGCATATATTTTATAAAATGCATATTATTGTTTATTTACTTTTTTGATGTCTCATGTTTCATGATGAGACTTAGATGAGGCATAATTGTTTATAATATATACTTTATTTATTTATTTAATGTCAGTTTCACTTGTGTTTTTAGAGCATATGAATGAACTTTCAGCAGCTCTAAAAGCACATCTGGCCTGCCTGACTTTGCCCCAGCTCTCTTTGTGTTGATGATTGTACACAAAGGTAGTCAAATGTGCTCATTTAGGCACATAATATTGCACTATTACAGACAAAACTGTATGCAGTTTTGAATGTCGCTTAAAAATATGAATGCACTGCACTGACTACCTCTTGTTCTAGAGTTTTTTTAATGCCATAACATAATGTCTCTGTATGAAGTGGATATTGGATGTAATTAAGAAAGTTCAGAATATCTATGAAGTTAATATAATTTTCAGTTTGTTCTTCTTATTTTTTAAGGGGTATATCAGTTAGTTTAGTTGCTTCAGAAAGTTTGCATGGGTAGTCTTAGAGTGTAATTAACCTAAAAGTCTAGATAGGCTAAATCTTGTAGGATAGGTACTATAACTTATCAAAAGTCATTTTGTAATGTTTACTTTAAAAAAGTTATGCTGCTTCAATGACACAATGTGAACGTATTGTTAGCCCATTTGGGAGGATTTAAGTTTATTTATTAGAATGATAACAAATGCTCATTTACGGTTTATGTTAAAAAAATAACTTATTATTTTTATTATTTTATCCTTATATTACTGCTGTGGTTTAATACGAAGAGCGTGTTTGATTTAGTTTGTGAAGGAAATGTTACAATATATATGTTTATTAAATTAATAACTGTATATTTTCTTTAATAGTTCAATGTTACAAATTCAACAACTTTTAAATAGTTTGATAGTTAAAGGGATAATGTGTACTTTTTATGTATTTTATTATTCAAAATCAATATTTGTATTCATAAATACTGTAGGTCCTCCATGGTGTACAAATACCTCTGCCAAATATCTGACTTATCCTTGTAAAGGATAAGTCAGTAAACGAAGAATTTATTATCTTTAAATGGGACCGGTAGGTCCATAGACATAACAAATACATAGATGGCCAATTGGCCGCTTTAGAATGTTGCTGCTATATGTCAACGCGTCCGCCATTTTGGGCAAGTCTGCACTGTAATCAAATGCAAGTAAACGGTGACCTGCGGTTTTTCTGGATAAAAAAACTGGACTTTCTGGATTTTTACATTTATCAAGTGATTTCATTGGTTTGTACGTGGTGTACAAAAAGTTCCATCTCTAGTTATTTAACATCTCGATAGTTTAACACTTTCTGTGTGACATTCTGTCAAAGCTTTTTGGTACATAATGGCTACCATAGATACAACTCGCATTTGAAAAAGCGAGGCCTGGAGAGCACAATTCGTTTGAATGCAAACTACATTTTCACTGCTAGATAGGAGAAATTCCTACACATTGTCCCTTTAAAAACAATGCTTGTCAAAGTATACCAACAAACAGTTGTTAAGGTCTTATGGAGCCACCTATTGGTGAGACATTTGAAAAAGAAAAACTTTTTTTTATGTTGCTTAAGTTGCAGCAGACATCTTGTTGTGGTTTATTTTTTCTTTCTTGTTTTTGTGCTGCCATTTTTAAGGACTTGTTATTGTATAATTTTGACCTCTTTAATTATGTATTTTTGATGAATACTAATGAAATTATCATCAATAAAATTACCATTAGTTCTTTTAATCCAATCCCAAACAATGTTTTTTGTTTCCTTCTGTGTGAAGGATGTGGAATTTATTGCTTTACAAGAAATAAAATGATTTTTTTTTTCATTTTTTAATGCTTGTATATATATATATATATATATATATATATATATATATACATATACAAAGTTACATAGTTACTGTTACAATCCATATATATATATATATATATATATATGGATTGTAACTGTAACTATGTAACTTTGTATTGTAACTATGTTTGACTTTATGGCCCCTGTTAAATAAATAAACTAATAAAAATAAATAATATGATGATTTGATGCTCAAGAAAAATTCTCATTATCAATGTTGAAAAATTGTTATTTGCATTTATTTGAAATAGAAAGCTTTTGTAACATAAAACATTACCATTCAAAAGTTCTGGGGTCAGTACGATTTATTTTATTATTGTTTTAGGGGAAAGAAATAAAATCAATACTCATCAAGGATGAATTAAATTGATTAAAAGTTACTGTAAATACACTAATAATGTTACAAAATATTCTATTTCAAATAAATGCTTGTTTTTTTTTAACTTTGTTCATCAAAGAATCCTGAAAAAAAAATTACACAACCGTTTTCAACATTAATAAATAATTATGAAACTTTGAGCATCAAATATCCGCATATTCCAATCCGCATATAAGAATGATTTCTGAAGGATCATGTGACACTAAAGACTGTGGTAATGATGCTGAAAATTCAGCTTTGTAAAATATATTAAGAGAAAATTACTACAATATTATTGTTTTTTATCAAATAAATGCACATTTGGTGAGCAGAAGCATGGGCATTTTCTTTTAAAAGATTAAAAATCTTACAGATCAAAAACTTCCGATCATAAACTTGTATACACCCACACACACACCTTTACATCAGACGTCTGGCATTTCAACAACCAAAATAAATAGAGAAATTACCAGTTGGAAAAAAATGCAATGTTGAATTATGGTTCATCTGTACAAATATTTTATTTATAGAGATTCCCATATAAATCTGAATAAATATCATTCAGAAGTTTTATTCAGGAAAAAAAAAACACATCTGGAAATAAATGACAAACATTTTAAATTAACTTTTCACCAGTCAGAATAAGGCACCTTGGATGCAGCTTATAACATACTCATGTATTCATGGTTAACAAAAAAAAAAAGCATCTTTAAATCGCAAACCACTGAAAATATCAAATGTATAAAAGTGAAAAAAAGTACTTAGAAAACAATATTGCACACCAGTGTATAGGCCATTTTTGGTAAACATTCCCATTTCATGCACTTGCTAAAGCACCAATAAGCTATCTGAAATTCAAACAAATGTTTGTGTTGCCAAAAATAAAATCTATATTACATTCACAGAAGAAACCAAGGCATCCTGACAGCACAAGGGCAACTTTTTATGCATGTAGGATTATTTGAAATATCCTTTTTCTAATCCTCAATGTAACTTTTCTAAGAGTAAACAAGACACATGCTAAATCAATATAGATAAAGCACATTTTCCCTCCAACAAAGCTTTTTAGTTTCTCATCTTGCACATTTCTTGAGTACATTCGGTTACCAAACTTATAAACATTATGACACTTGCTTCTAATGCAACCCCATCTTTTCCCTGCCTCAAGTCATCCAGGAATCCTTTGCACTATTGACACTATGTACATGGCAGCAATGCAGCGCCCCCTAGAATTTGAAAAGGTTGATGAAACCCTGTGGAGACACAGGCTTGCAGCAGCTCTCTGGATTATTGGCAGTGCAAGGATGGTCTGTATCCTAAGTAAACAGGAAAAAACAATCTGTTAATGCCATAAATGGAAAAAAAGTTGTTGATATTTTCAAATAAAAATGTTAAAAGCTAGAAATGAGTCTAGTCACCTTCCAGAACAGGATATGGCAATGTGTACAGAACTGTAACGTGTCACTGTACTGTTCCTTGTGAGGGTAGCACCGGCACAACTTAAAGTACATCTTTTTCCATTCCAAAAGTCCTTTATCTGACACCATTAGGTGCTTGCGGATCTGTGGAGAACATACCAAATTACTTAAACCAAATATAGTGTTTGTACTGTATGCCAGATAATCGAATTCATGAGCAGATTTAAAAAACAGTGACATAAATATGCAAGACTCATCTGGCCCTTTAAGGGTCAGTACACTCAAATGAAAAATATTGTTTTAATACTTACTCACCCACATGTCGAAACACTTCACTTCATCTTCGAAACACAGATGAAGATATTTTCAATGAAATCTGAGAGATTTACATACCTACATTGACACCCCATGCAACTACCACTTCGTCACTTCAAAAAGTTAAACTAATGAATATGAATAGTGGTTTAGTACAAAATTTAAGAGACTTGATCACTTTATATGGCTTTCAGGCAATTTTGTCTGTTATTTACAAATAAACCTTGATCAGCGAACATAAACAGAAACTCAACAGTTCTTGCTTGAATCTTATTGGTTATTGCAGAAGCTCAAAAGCTTGTAACAAACAAGAATGAACCTCACTGGTTCTTGCACATCAAGCAAACAGCTTGAGCTTCCGTTGACTATTGTGTGCATTTATGAATATGTGGGAATGGGAAAAAAGCCTAAATTCAATCCGTTCATCAGAAAGCGACAGTCTCCCTTAAGAAAATTTGGACTAAACTGCTTGACTCATATGGATTAGTTGAACTTTTTGAAGTGTCAAAGTAGTAGTTGCATAGACTGTCAACAGAGGGACAGAAATCTCTCAGATTTCATTAAAAAATCTTCAATTGTGTGTCGAAGATGAACGAAAGTCTGGAAAGACTTGAGGGTGAGTAAATTAAACTATTCCTTTAAGCATGTGACAAACATGTACCTGTCGGTCTGCAAAGTGATACTGGCAAAGTTTCTTCCACAACAGCCGATCTTCAGCCAGCACACTTAGGTCAGGGCATACTTGACCCAGGCTAACCACATCTCGTCCGTCTGAAAGATGGTGCATGATGTTAAGCTGCAAGCTAGCCGGCAGATCAAGGTATGTCATCCCTGTGTTTGTAGGCTGGACAAATAAGAAGAAAGTCTCTGTTTACCTTCATGATCTGAACAAGCTCAATGGATATGTTTGCTAGGTTACACGATATAACGCATGTTCTGTGTAGCTTAAAGTGATATTTGTTATTGTTAACTGAAATTAAGTTCTCCATGGAACGCAAAATTAAATATTTATAGCAGTCGTCCAAGCTGCTCTAACAAACTTAATGTTCGAAAAGTTTTAGTCCATTGGTAATATGGAGTATATTTGTGGTGCTCTTATGTTGCCATTTTTGCTTTTCAAGCTCGACAGCCCCTGATTACCATCCACTTTAATTATATAGAAAAGAGTGGCCAAAACATTCTGCTTCATTTCTCCCTTAGTGTTCCACTGAAGTATGATAGTCATACAGGTTTGGAACCACATGAGGGTGAACAAATTACATTTTTGGTTGAACTACCCCTTAAACTGCAATAAAATAAGTTTTTCCTTTGCTATATTATCTGGAGCTTTTGCACTCACCCGGTTGATTTGAATGTTATCAAGCTGCTGTTGCCACAGTAGTATGTTCTCCATACGGTGCACCCAGATGTTGATATTGCCCACTAGGACAGACTTGCCCATGTCCTGAACCAGACTGCACAACGACGCATACAGTGTCTGCAGGAGTTCTTTAATCGGACGAACGTTTTGCTGATCATCAAGAACTGAGAAAGATTGCAAATGTTTAGTTGTAACTAAAAGTTCAAGCGCACAAAAAACATGGGCTGAACACTGTTGACAGGATCTGGTGTGTGTTACAGGATACTTTAAGTTCATGCCAGATGCTTTCATAACACACAACAGATAAGATTAAGACATTACATATGCATTTATATCATAAACTGATGAGTAAGGAAAGTGACAGGTAAATTAATAAAGTGGTTTGGGTATGACGTAGCCTACAAGTGAGCAATTTAGTTTCCCATAACAACCTGCACCTTTGTTTAGCTGAGATGACTTTTGGTTTACAATACAGCTGAGATCCCTGTTAGCTCTCTGAGGCTTGTAGCTTTTTCCAGTGCAGGCAATTATAAAAAACCCATTCAGCTATGAGCTACTGGCCAAGCCCACCAAACATTTTGTTGAAAAAGATTGCAGACAATAGAATAAACAGCTATTCTGTTAAGGACATAGTTTGCCTCATCTTTATTTCCTATTAACCACAAGAGAATTTCAGTACAAGCATCGGAGTAAATCATCAGAGCCTTTGCAAACATGTAATGTAAACAGACATAGTTGATGTTTTACGAATGAGATGAAGACGTGAGAAAGCTTACCTTTCTGCACAACCCTTTCCAGAATGTTCATGTAGTTTTTCTGTGCCACACCACTCAACGAAGGCAGTTGGGACTTGGCAATCAGCTCCAGCAGCTGAAATGTTGGACATAAATTTGAGAGGTCAGATTAAGAGGCTGTGTGTTCCAGCATTACTTGCAGACTGTTTTATTCCACCCTCTTCAGCCTTGGCAAAAACAAAGGGCTCAGAAATGGGACGTTCTCTCCTCACATGCACTCTGGCTTATGTCTGTTTCAGCAGTGTTGTTGTCTTGAAGTTCAGACAAAAGCAGGTAATCGTTCCTTCAAATCGACTGACTCTAAAACAAAGTGATAATTTGACAGTAACCGTTTGGGTACCTTATACTGTATGTATGCTATCATTTGGACAAGAGTAGGTTTCCAACACCAAGTTCATGTTCAAAAGTTAGGACAGCCAAGAGCAGATAGTGAGTGCAGAGTTGTGTTCTCTAAAGGTTGTTGGGTGGCATGACTGGCATGTAATACCAGCACAATCAACATCATGGAACAACACTGACCCATACTCGACCCAGCTACATGTGAACATTGTCATTCTCCTCCCTCCCCTACAGCGAGCCCCTGATGAAAGATGCTCCAAGTGCCTTTATGTGGACTGGAGCATGAAAGTTTGGGGATTTTTCTTTTTAATAGATTTTAAAATGTCAGCATCATTACTCCAGTCTTCAATGTCACATGATCCTGCAGAAATCATTAAAATATGCTGGTTTGCTACTCAAGGAACATTTCTTATTATTATCAATGTTGAAAACTGTTGTGCTGCTTAATATTTTTGTGGAAACCAGTATACATTTTTTCAGGATTCTTTGATGAATAAGTAAAAAAAAAAAAAGGAAAATAAATTAAATAAGTTAAAAAAAAATAAAAAATAACTTTAACCACAATGTTTTAAATAGTAGTGTAGTGTATATTTAAAATAATAAATTAAAAGAAAGACACCTTCTCATTAAATATTGCTAAAACTACTGGAGCAAGACATGCAAAAGCTGTTTGTGTATTACACAGTAATCACTATTAAAGGTAAATTAATTCCAATAAATGACAGTGATGAGACATATTATAGTGGTCTTTGTCATAAGTAGCCTTATAGATTTGTTTTTCCATCCCTACTAAACCTGATCTCTGTAACTGAGCTCTAACGCAACACCAGCACAAGGTCAGACAACCAAAAGAGAAACTGCAAGATAAACCTGACACTGACTATGGTGTCTCAACAGTGCCTGGAAATGTCTAGAAAAATAAATGATGCACTGAAGTGACCTTAACTAAAAAGTTAAGAGTAAACAACTTGATCCTTATCCTGTGTTCACCTGTCCTCTGAAGTGATCACAAGGATTCATGACCCAATTTGCCAGCACCTAAAGCTCATCATAGCTGACTCTATACCACAGTGGAGTCAAGTGATCGGATCAGAATTCAGGGTCACAATGCCGACAGATAGAGAGGGGGGTGGTGGGGGGGTTAATGGCCACCTAAGTCACTTGACTTTCCGTTCCAGTTTCATAAGCTTTCTCAACCTCAGCTGTCTGATTGACAGTGACCTCAACGTCACACCAACCAGTGTTAGTTATCTGCTCTTAGCCGATGACCTTTGCTTTCAAATCAAGAAGAATGTCCAATCATTAGTGACCATAAACCATGGAGTAATAGCTCATTTGAACTTGAATTTAAGGCTGCTTAAGTCACTCTTGTTTTTTTCATTACAGGAAACAGTTGCAGCAAACACACACACACAGATATGTATACAGAAGCACAAACATGGTCCCTGTGCATTTGCCATCAAACTGCCCCAGAGGCCCGCTTGTCTGGTGTGCGATGATAAGAATGGAGACAGTAGCAGATACCCAGAGCCCAAGACTTGATAAACCTTTTTTTTTCAGAGACTGAGCCTAGCTATTGTCACGGTTTTACAAAAATAGACGGGTGGAAACTCACCCTTACGACATAATTGAATCGCCTGGTGTCTTTGATGGCACTGCAGAAATCCAAGCGATTAAATGCTTCTCCCAGAGTACAATATCCATGACGCTGCAGGAGACGAAAGAGGAGTTAGTTGACTACTTATTCACACAGAAGCCTCTTGTATCGTACTGCAGGATATAAATACCAGGCCTTACCTCTTTGGTGCTTCCTTTGTGGACATAAATCCATTTGTCTTTGTGAAAATCTGCAATGAAGAAATATATCAAGACTTTTGCAATAACAGACTTGTTCCATTTAGATTTTCAGAAAGATATGGTGAAGAGGCTTACAAGGAATCTTTGTATTGTTGTTCAGCAAGTCCTTTTTTCGCTTCTTCGCAGCCACGTCATAATTAATGCTGAGGATCAAATTCTCCTTGTCATGTTCTTCCTTACAGTAGCTGAAAGCAAAGTGAAGTTGTCAACACACATGCGTTGTCAGGGATATTTTTTTTTCATAGTTTAGCACCATGATGGGGAATTTCACAACATATGGCCACTTATCAATATGCAACTATTTAGGCCCTAAAACAATTTCTTGTCTGTACCTACAGCTACACTTTTATCAATAGTTCAAGCACATGACCTGTTGTATTATTAGAAAGGTGATTAAACCGATGATGAGTAAACACAAAGGCATTTTATGTTTACAGCAGCTATTTAGCCTACTGCAGTGCTGTCATTTGTGCCGCACCTCCGTCACTAACTTCACTTAAATTATTTATTCATAAGTATTTTTATTCGTCTTTTACGATGTATTTACACACGTTTTATGTTTTTAAATAAATTGAGCAGCCTATAAACAGTATTAATGTCATAATATAGGCTAAATAAATATAATTAAAAAAAAATCTTATTAAATGCCCCTTGACGCAGATTGCGTCTGCAGTAAACAACTCCATTTGTTTTATGATGCGGAAAATATCAGATGAAAGACTTCAAATGTAAATGTTGAATCATTAAACACTCACCTCTTCCGTTCTGAAACATTGTTATTCATCTCGTTCTCATCTTTCGTCGTTTTTTTCCAGCCATCCTCTGTTTTTACCCAGCTTTGACCAGGAGACCGCCAGTCTTGTCCAAGAAACGGCATTGTCAAGATAAGAAAACCAGTGATAACGGAAGAAAACTTGTTAGTGTTAAACTTCAGAAGTAGTTAAAGTGATTTCCTCGCGGATATGCTGCTATATTGAATAATGTTGTGAACGCGCTTCTGATGATAAAAGTGCGCAGCTGTATTTATATTGTCAGGAGGAGAATCCGGAAATGTTCCTGATCCCGCCCCCTTTGGACCACGTTCTCCAACACGTGGCTTTGTTTATCATCTTCCTTACTATTGCAAAACCTCACCAGAAACATAATCACAGATAGTTCAGTACACTGCTGGATCATCTTTCCTCATGCGCTTATTAAATGTCAGACATACACAGTCAATGCAATTTAATGTGATGAGCCTGAGATTTATTTTCTTGAGATCATCTTGAAACAGACAAGAGAATGACTTAGGCTAATAAAGTTTTCCAGACTTGAGTTGAGGAGTAAGATCACAACATTATCTACCCTTACAAGTGCTTCATAAATGAAACAAAAGTGAGATTCTGAATCACAAGTAGAAAATAATTTAGTTAAAGTGTGTGAATGACATTTCCTCCCAATCAGGAGACTATAATGACTGTATAGAAGTGGGTCAAACAAAGGCTAGTTATCCATTATGAAAAAGCATGTATGTTTTACCTTATTAGCTGCTATAGTAACATGATCAGATTCCAACTGAACTCCTATTGAGATAACACCATTTCGTGAAATGAAACTGGTAAAGAACCGCACTTCACACCATGATAAGGAAATATAATCTTTTTGAAGTTGATTGCATCAATAGGCTATTCACTTTTGTTTGGTAATGAGTTGCATACTGAGCAAGAAATGTGACCCAGCTGCCCTACATTATGATGTAATGAGAGCTGATGGAAATGAGAAACTAGCAGCTTCCTTTTATCATTTAATCTCTTTAAGTCACACACAAGAGTTTCTCTGTGTTGATGGTTTGCTTTCAGACAGTTAATTCTTATCAGCTGAAAATGGTTGTGTGGAGACATAAGAGTTCTAGAAGGTGTATATTTACAGTGTTTTACACTTACTTGATGCAAAAAATATATTGTAATTGCCATTCAGACCCGCGGGTTTCGTTTTATACCAAGATGTAATTTACATGAGACATGAATGACACCTAAACAAATAAATGTGCCAACACAATAAAATAAAAGCAAAAATTTAAAGCAACATTTTTTTTAGAAAACACACTTTTCAAACGCCTTTTTAAAAGGTTTACTTTAGACTATAGTAACATCATTTTGCCTGGATATCTATAAAGGTTGTGCTTGTTACTGTTTCCTAAACTCTAGCATGGAGTTCAGATTAAACCATGACTAGGGGTGAATTCAGGTTGATTAGGACACTTTCCACCAGTCATCTCAATGGCAAAAAGTGTACACACACACACACGTGGATTGATTAGGAATTATTTTGCACCGTAAGAAGGGTGTCTATTGTTGATCTCAATGGTGTTATTTCATGGTGACCTCAATGTTTTACCAGACACAGTGTTTAGATGCAGAACTGAGCTTGTGTGAATTTTCATAAAGGGAGAGCAAAATTTATTTTTCTTGTAATCAAAACATTACATTCCATGCAATAGTTAAATGGTCATTTGAGATTCAACACACACTCAGGCCTGTGATAAAGATTACTCGAAACATTTCTCAAACAATTTGTCTCCTCAGTGCTAATGTAACCTGACTTGGGTGCAGTGAACTGTGTGCTTAAAGTAGAGTGGAAGACTCCAGAACAGGTTGCCCTCTTAGTTGAAAATGATGCAAAAGGTGCACAGGGCCCTGTAGTGGCATATTCAATAAATCATAAATGTGTTTTTTGCTCATTTATCAATTTGTTTAATTAATAATTTGGTCAAGAAGAATAATTAGTGATAACATATAGTCATGGTTTAATCTGACCTTCACATTGGAATTTAGGAAACATTAACAAGCACAACATTTTTCACCTTTCTTTATATAGTGCTTTATTCAATACAAATTGTTTCAAAGCAGCTTTACAGTGTTAACAGGAAATGATTCAATGATGCAAACAGTTCATTTCGCCTGTACAGCAGCTCTAAAAGAAAACAGTGTCCTTTAGGCAGATGTCCAGCAACAATTATGTTCCCTGTAGTCTAAACTTTTAAAAATATGTTTGAAAAGTTTTAATAGCATTGTGGAGCGAGACCCATTCCATTAGGTTTTCATTCCAAAGGTTTAACAGCACATCGGGAAGGCATTTGCTTCCATTGCGAGGCAAATACATTCAACAACGTGACATTTGTTCCTCTCCAAAAATATCTTTTCCCAAGCTATGCTCAGTGTTCGGCTCTCAGCTCAGGGACAAGTGCTATGAGGGGATTTCCTAGACATCTACACGGCTAAATGACAATCATATATTTTCGTTTCAATTTTAAAGTTAAGAAAAGCTCAACATTTGTCTGTTCAACCAGAGCAATAGAAGTAAATAAAAAGGCATTCAATGTAAAACGCTCATGAACTGTTTTTGTTTTGTGTTCATGCTGGTGGACGCGGCACATGATCACATACGCTCTCGCTTGCTCACTAAAACACCTGTTGCTGTTGCTCTTACACCAATTTCATCATTCCCTCATGTTTCAGTTTCCTTGACCAACAAATCTGCAGACTGCGCCAGCCACATGATTTTGGGGGTGTAAAGTTCTCCCTTGTTTGTTTCCCCAAATAACATCAGATCACCTATAAGCCCCCAATGACTGAATCCCATCATCATCTCCGACCTAAAAGAACAATCTACAGTACAAAATGTTTTAACATGAACAGGTTTGATGAAGTATAATCAATTCAAACCCCAAACAGCACATGTTCTAAGAATGCCACAGTGCATTGGGTAATCGTAAAACACACTTTGTTGTTCACGTTTTACCATCTTTAATGTCAGTGAGTCAACAGAACATGATTACTGCCTAATGCAATATTATGCGTCTAATAAAAGCTCATCGTCAAACTTGACATCACTTGGATTCCTACATGTTATGGTTTGTTGAAGTGTGTTGATAAAGTGAAATGGGTATTGGGAATTTATCACAAAATCACAGCATTCACAATACAATAGGAAGTCTCTTAATGGCTCATCAAAGTCTTCTTTACAATTCACAATTTCATGTCTGGGCATGTCGACACCCGTTACACTGTCTAACTGAGAGTGACAGGAAGACATGTGAGACACAGACAGAGCAATAACACATATACCCAGACACATATTTCTCTCTCACGCACCAGCTGCCGTACGTCCTCACACCTTCTGTGTCATGTCATATGATGAGTTTCTTATCTTATGATCTATGTAGGATGATTAATAGGTCACATGTTAGTTATTATAACATTTTATTTTTTGGTGAATTGTCCCTTTAATAACTAAGAAGAAAAAATGATCTGTCAATAGTTTCCATAAATTCACCAAAAACAGAATTTTATAATAATGTGTCATTCCAAACTTACGAGTTTTTAAAAAAAAAATACTGTATAAAGAAAGATTTAAAAATGTCTGTATTTTAGCTCATAAAATGAAATTATCCATCAGGTTTTTTTATAGCATTTTATTTTGTGTTCTGCCTAAAAGAGAAAATCATACAAACTTAGAATGACATTAGGCAAAAAAAAATTATGACATGATTATTTATTTATTTTTTGGGTGAATTATCCCTTTAAATTCCATACAGCCAGATAAGTCAATTTACAAAAAAAACACACAAAAGAAGCATTATTAGTTTTTATGAAGAATTTAATGGTAAAATCATTTTGCATGTATACCTGTCCCACTCAATTTTTAAAAGAAAATATTTGGAGGAAAAAAACATGAATAAATAATCAATTTACAAAAGAAGGAATGTTTAGATAAAAAGTACATGTAAACAAACAATGTGCAACAATTCAGTGTCAAGTGCAAAGTAGTAATACAGAATTTTAAACTGTTCAAGTTCAAAGGTAATGTGTATTCTTTAGCAAACACTAATATGATTTAATTGTTCATTAAACAGGTGATCTAAAAGACACTTGAAAATAAAAGCTGAACAGTATCATACTTCTATCTGCTACTACATGGCCTGAGCTTAATTTCAAAATATCTTTTAAATAACTTTTAATAGTTATTTTACTAATAACCTCACACGCTCAAAAGGCAACCCGTGCAAACACAGAGAGCTTCGAAAAATGTGTCTCATTGCGTTGCGGTCTTAATACGGTCTCCATTTTTACTCTTATTTCTCAGAATGATCTGTCAAATAGAGCACTCCAAGAATTTTAGTTGGAGACAGACGCATTTAAGCGTGTATGATATGACATTGTCACATTAATACAGTCATGTAGGCAAAAACTTATCAGAGAGATAGACAAGATTTACTGAGCCATGGTCAAATAGCTTGAATGGCAAAGTTCCCATCGACACCCATGAGTCTGTCTTTGGGTCATAGAAGTCAAAGCCGTCTGAGTCTTCAACACTCTCGTCACTGTTAATGAAGCGCCCCCCTGTGACATAGATCTTGCCATTCACAACAGCAGCAGAGTGATGCATCTTCCTGGCCTTCATATTTTCACATTTTTCAAATCTGTTGCTTTTAACATCATATGCTACCATTCTTCTTGTGTAGCCTGTTAAATAATAAAAAGAGTTAAAGTAGCATGAAATGGAAATTAAGATTGCCTTTTTTCCTATAGTGATGTACACTACTGGTCAAATGGTTTGGTCTCTAACGCTCACCAATGCTGCATTTATTTGATCAAAATGCAATACAAACAGTAATGTTGTGAAAAATTTATACAATTTAAAATAGCTATTATCTATTTAAATTTTTGGTAACACTTTACAATAAGGTTCATTAGCTAACATTAGTAAATGCTTTAACTAACATAAACTTAACGATGAGCAATGCATTAGTTACACTGTTTATTAATATTTGTTAATGTTAGTTAATACAAATACAGCTGTTCATTGTGCGTTCATGTTAGTTCACAGTCCATTAACCAATGTTAACTAATACAACCTTTGATTTTAATAACGTATAAGTAAATGTTGGAATTAATATTAACTAAGATTAATAAATGCTGAAGAAGTATTGTTCACATAATGTACATTTTAACTAATGTAGTTAACTAATGTTAACTAATGAACCTTATTGTAAAGTGTTACCAAATTTTTACATTGCAATTTATTCATGTGACAGCAAAGCTGAATTTTCAGCTGCTTTATTTTGGAGTAAAGCAAACAATACTCAAAGCAAACAATAATAAAAAAAAAAACCTAGAAATTGTTAAAAAATGTGATGGTAGTGTATTTCTGAGTGAAACGACTTCTCAAACAAGAAAAAAATGTAAGGTGGGACTTGGTCAAAAAATGATTGGATTGTTGTAATTTGCTAATTGCTGCAATCTCATTTGAGTGACAGGTTACTGGAGGAGACGGATCTCGAATATTTCATGGTGACCTCAAAACCAACTTCCAGGAACATTATATTCACAAAACTACCAAAAAACCCTCCTTACCGCCTACAATGTAGATTTTATCATCGATCACAGCAGCTGGTGCACAGACGTTCTTCACTGTCCTGGTTTCCATCCTATACCAAAGATTCCTTCCGATGTGGTACACCTATCAAAAACAAACATCTTTAACCACTGCAGAATCATTGCAATTTGTTCTATACAACTAAACATCCCAAACCTGGATAATTCGAACTGGTTTCTGCATGGCGTCTTCCCCTCCGAACACGTATATTCTCTGGTCATGTGCGGCTACAGCTGGGTGCAGGACTGCAGTGGGCATGGGGGCCATGGCCTCCCATAGGTTGAACATGGTGTCGTATCGCTCTACCGAATTTGACAGCTGTCCGTCAGCTGTCAAGCCACCCAGAACAAAAATGAAATGCAGGTAGGTAGAGCTCTGGTGGGCGTATCGAGGTGTCAGCATGGGTTCTCCAACTCTCCACTGGTTTGTTTTCAGAGAAAGCGTGTACACAGTGTTGGTAGGTGTGCACTGCCCTCCTGCTGTCGTGGTTAAGCCCCCGAGCACATAAAGGATGCTGTGCATGCAGACATAAGAGGGCCGGTGAAGACGCAGCGGGATTTTTGCGAGACACTGCCAGCAGCGAGTCTGCTCGTCGTAGAGCAGCGCCTCACGAGACGTCCGCTCTCCATTCTTACGACCTCCCACTACTACAAGCGCCTCCTTGCAGTTTTTCCGTCGTGGCACCGCCCAAAGGGGCTCAAGATCGCCAGGGCAATGAGTGCCGACAGAAAAAAGAAGGCGGCGAACGGATTCGATAATCTCTATGCATAAAGAAGATGACTGGACGAAAGGGTCATTGGCGATAAACTGGAAAAGATAGGAAGGATGGACATGTCTCAGCCTCACGCGACGGAACAAGTCGTGGATAGTGCTACATCTGGAGAACGGGTCATGGTGGATCCAAGCTAGAAGAGTCTCAAAAACTTGCTCCTCCTCAACACACAGTTTGTCGTCCTCCAAGTAGCTCACCAATTCGGGTAGCGACAGTTCGCAGAAGTCTTCGGAGACCGCCACATCAGAGAAGCTCTTCACAGCCAGTTCTCTCGCTTTTTCCTGCAAGCTAGAGCAATGCAGGATTTCAGAGAGTCGGATCATGCTCAGGCAGTTGTCTGGACTGAGCTGGGTCTGCAAGAAGGTCGAGCAGGCCTCAAAAAGCCTTCCGTACTGAAGCATAGAGGCGGCTTGCATCAGAGGGAGAACCTGCTCCATGGTGATGCCGATGGACCCTGTGTATACATACTCTACTATACTGGCAAGGATGTCATAAGGAACACCTTGGAGGTCTATCCGGGGCTTCTGGGTCTCCAGGAAGCAGCTGCAGAACATAGCGTAGAAGTAGGGGCTGCTGGACACCAGAACATTGCGGTGACATGGGAGCTCTTTGCCCTCAGAGCAAAGAACAACATCAGTGAATTTTTGGTCCTTCCTCAAGGTGTTCAGCTCCAAGAGGAGGGTTGAGATCAGGTCTTTGTCTTTAAAATGCAGGACATCTGCTATTGGACCATCTAAGCTGTGGAAAAAAAGGCAAAGGTTTTATAATCATAAGATATTTTCTTTAATTAGGATATCGGTTACACATACATTCTTGAGCACAAAAAAACTCTAAGTCCAGATGCATTTCCTATAACCATTTCGTTTATATATTTTTTTTAAAATTCAGAGATATTAGTTGCACATTATGCATCTTTAAGCTTTTATACAATACTCTCACACACACACAGATATAGTATTTATAAATATAATATTATTTACATTATTGCAGTATACATCTGTATATATATATATATATATAAAAAACAGTGTATAAATGTTTATTTATAATTATATAATAAATAAACCAATATGACTGATTCAATTGCATGCTTGAACTAACAGTGCAGCATTTTTTAATACATCTGCAATTGCCAATTTTAAGAAATCAAAGAAATGTGCAGCAAGGAAATGATTCCCGATCATCAATTAACAGTTTTGCAAGTTCATCATCACACAATAATCTTCCAAGATCTTCCAGTTTTCCTGCAGACTGACATATGGCAAATAAACCACAATGCCACGCAGTTAGACAAACTACACAGGTGTTATTGTGCCTGAAGTCAAGACCTGATGTCAGCCATATCTTACCTGGTCTCAGATGATTTGAAGCACATTCTAGATGGTCCTGTAAATATGTATCATCAAAACTCAAGCAGAGCTCAGACTCGTCCCTCTGCTTTCAAAAAACAGTTCACTTCTGATTCTGAAAGTCACTTGAGTTTGGCAGGTGGATGTTTATAGAGACTGGGGCAACCGCGGTATGTTATTTGTTGTTCAGAAATCCTTCGAGAGGCCTCACAGTGTACATTCCAGTCTCCCTAAAAATAGAAATCTCTCTTCTCTGTTAGAACTGGAGCAGGTCCCTCCAACACCTCCTCATGGTACGCCCTCACCCCCTCTGTTTTTCCATAACACAAAAAGTTTCTTCACCGTCTGCATCGCGTGTCCGAATTGCTCCATGCTCCACAGCGTGTGTATGCTTGCCGAGGCTGTAAACAACATCGGCACGTGTGCCCAAAAGCTATTCTAAGAGTTTGCTGTGTACTTGAACTGCACTAAAAAACTAAAACTGCAGCTGAAAGCTTTGAAGCCAAACATACGCAGGTATAAATTACAAGTATAAACAGCGCTGAGTGATTGGGTTGTTTGAACATCTTGGAAACGTAACTGTGTAACGTAACTGCACTTAGGTTGCACTGTTGGCGTATGAAGTTGAATAAGCATTAATAAACTATTTTAATGTCAATTAAACGAATAAAACGATTATTTAAAATCTTAATCTATAACTCTTTTCAACAATAAGATTCTCTGCTTTTGTTTACCAGAACAACTAGGTCCTTCAGAAAAAAAATCTAATTGCGCTTTAGATAAACAGCGCCATCTTGTGTTAGTTCTCTGTACTGGGGTTTCTTGTGACTTGAGAGGCATTTCTCAATAGATGCACCTGTGCTGCCATATGTTTCACATGCGGTGGTAATCTTAAATGTTCAACAACTTCAAATGTGTTCTCTTGTACCTTACGATAATATGTTGTTACAAGCAACAACAGTCTCCACGTTTGATCAAGCAGAAAAAAATGAAAAACATTTTCAAACATGATGTCCTCAAGCCTTGTATTGAACATTAAGAAACAAATCAAAACAAAACTTGATAAATAAATAAAGATGTGAAGAAGAAAAATGGCAAAGCTGAAAATTTATTTTATAGTTGAAAGCATTTTTGAAAAGAATGCTTTCAACAATAAAATACATTTTATTAATTTAAATAAATTTTATAAATGCACACACACACATATAGTTTTAATGCATACATATTTATCCTATTGTTTTTTTCTGCATTAAAACTTGGCCTCTCTCTCAGTTCCAAATTAATCACAAAATGTACACACACACATTAATGTATTACAAGGTATGATTCTGTTGGTGTTATTTCACTGTACTCATCAATGTGCAAACCCCTGAAATTCCAGAAACAAAAGAATGGAAAACTAATGTCAGGTTGTAAGGCTACAAACTGCTTGAGTAATCCCTTTGAACTTCTATCACAACTCCCTTTGAAAAGGTGGCAGGCAAAATAAAATTAAGCATGCCTATGATTTTCGGTAGCAGAGAATGTTGCGACCTTAAATTTTCCAGAGCCACTCTTTGTGAAAATAACGGTCTCTTGGTAGAAATCTTGATACTCAACCTGTCGGGAGATCTCTTAAAGCCTGCAGATACTTTACATATCGTGCAAGGTACACAGCAGTGCTATCAGTGCTAGGTACAAATCTGCTCTGCTCTACAGCATCCACATTACATTACTGCGAGTCTGTTGTGCAGTTGCTTATTATCTCATGCTAAGCACTCAATTCCAAAGTGCCTGTGCCTCAGGGAGAGCATCCTCCCCGATTAACCCTGCTTATCACTGCATGAGTAAATGAGGAGTAAATAACAGTCACACCAAGAGATGGAGGGTTATGACTTCTAGACATTTTCCAAAAACTTCTGCCATTTGTATTCCTCACTATTTTTACTACACATTATATTAATTCTATTGTTATACTATAATATTATATATATATATATATATATATATATATATACACACAGTCATGCTCAGAATGAATGGCACACCTGGTAAATATGATCAACACTGACAGTAAAAAATAAATTTGCATTGTTGATCCTTTTGATCTAACCTTTCATTGAAGTAAAAGAATTGAAAGTTGTGTGTGTGTGTGTGTGTGTGTGGGAGGGGGGGGGGTTATAAGTATATTAATTGATGAAATTATATTTTATTTTATTCAATATTGTAATATTTTTTTTTAAATATTGTAAGAAATTATAGTCTGCTTCGATCGAACTTCCACTCCAATATAGATTATATTGAAATGTTCCTTCACTTAAAAGAGCTTATTTATCATAGAATCAATTTCTTACAATCTTAAAAGTATCACAGTCAGGTTCATCACCTATAGATTGGGAAGAACAGCAGGTACCCAGAACCATCTTGATTAGGGAGCTTCAAAGAGATGTTATCCCCTTAAACATTTGGCCGTATTGCTTTCTTATTTGAAAGAAGATCAAAGACAAGAACACAGCTGTTACAACAAGAACAACTTCATTTACATTAAGAGGACAGTAACAGGATAAAAGGTTGAAGATTTGAATGTTCGGGGTTCAATCTGACGCCGGTGAACCCAAGGTGCTTCGTGTGCCTTGCCACTGCTATGCTGTAATAAACTTCATTTTTGAGATCTTCGATGTCCACTTCATTTTTTCTTACAATATATATTTATAAAATAATATAATGAATTATTTTAAAACGAAAGAATATACCTTTATACCTTATTTCTTATTCTTATAATCTACATGCAAAAGGGAAGCATTTTGTTTATATACGTCCCTCCTGCATGTTCTATGAACACAAGCCTTTGTACATTAAAATAATTGACACTAATCAAAACAGTGCCTACTTTACAAATTCAATTTCTGTTTGCCATGCATTATGAGAAGAGCGAGAAGTAGTCATAATAGAAAGAAGCACGGGTTTTAGATATATTAAAGCACAATTTCTGATGCATTTTGAAGATCACTTTCATCTTTTGGTTCCTTTTGTGGACTCCTTTGTGATTCTCCTCAAATGCTACAACAGACTTTTCAACAGAAATCATAGCAGACCACCAGAACACAAGCCTCTCTCTTCAGCACAAAATAATTATTTTTGAGGACTATTTTTGAAATTTTTGTGTAACATTGATTTGGGTAGAGTCATGTAACAAATGCTTGTGCAGGTTGCTCTACAATAGGTAGTGCCACTGATGTTGCAATGCAAATTGCAATATGTCCATTCGGAATTGCAGGCTAACCTCTAAAAGATCAGTATGACAGTGATATTACATATATAGTTTGCTTCGCTCATGCAGAAAAAATTAAGGGAATATAGCAAATAGTGAGATAGCAAATTGGGTCATGTGTCAGATCTGAATGACCTACTTCTTCCAGCCTTTTTCTGATAAGAGTCTGGAGAAAATGTTCTACTTTCAGAGTGGTGGCAAAATTTCTGATAACCATCACCACACAGCAAATACCAAAGATACTTCTTTGAAGTTCAGAGCAATCAAACCAGCTATAATGTAATCAGTCTGATATGGACATTTTATAGTGTTAACAAATGCCATAAAAAGAGAATATCTAAGAAAACCTTTGTGAAATGAAACACATACTGGAACGTTAGCAACATTATATTGTCTACAGCAAGGATTTTCAAAGACAAATCAGGTGAAAAAAATATGAAATAACTGCAATTAATGTAGCCTATTGATTTCTGACCCTAATTAAATGTTAAATTTAGTGAATGTGAACATAAAAAATATAATGTTAAACATCTTTCACTAATTTCTTAAATACACATTAACAGATCCCCCCCCAAAAATCATTTTGTAATATACTGTATAAATCTCTCAAATTTTTCTCACACCCCATTATAGAAGTCCCTGGTCTACAGGAACATGATTGTAGGCCTGCTGGTGGTGTCGTAAAATTGAAATATATATAATACAATATATAATTATATATATTGAGATTAATACATTAAGAATAAATATGCTTTCCATTGATGTATGGTTTGTTAGGATAGGACAATATTTGGCCAAGATACAACTATTCAACTATTTAAAGATCTGGAGATCTTTAGAAAAAAAATCTAAACATGAGAAAATCGCCTTTAAAGTTGTCCATATATGTTCGTGATTGTGCTGAACTCACATTAAAAAAAAGTTTTATATATTATATTATATATTTACTCCTTTATATATATATATAGGCCTACATACAGTGTATAAATATAAATGTAAGTACAGTATACACACATTCACACACACAAATGTATATAATATATAAATAAATATAATCGATTTAACAGCCCTATCTGCTGGCCCGACAGTACTTTGTGGCATGAGAGCTATATTTTGGTTAAAATGTCATGTTCCTCTAGAGGTCAGTGCAGCTTTAATGTGAAAAAATATGTCCTAATAGACTATAGTCATCACACGTGTTGGGTATTATGATTAGACAAATTGCCTAAATGTTTCACTGCACTCAGCATTAGTGATCACTGAACTACCTCAAAGTGCTTTCATGATTTTTTTTAAGGTAACCCGCAGTGTATTATGCGACAACAAAGTTCTATTCATTAAAGAAAAAGCGTAATTTTGGGGAAATTGCACTGCACATAACAGAGTTGCATTTAATCAGTAACACTATGAGATTTTCCCCTCTACTTTTTTGTCACCTGATGATCTTTTCTTCCTTCTTTTAATTTCTCTCTCTGCAGCCAGTCCAGGTTTTTGGTGGGCTTCATCGGCATGACACCAACACACGCCATGCACCTTCAGCAATAATACACCTTTGATGGAGTGCAGTCGCCTTTGGAATCCTAGAGAGGGAAAGAGGGGTCTTAAGGGACTTACTATTAGCAGCTTAAAATTCTTCTGATGTAACCAGTGCATAGCCACTGGAAGAAAAAAAAACATAGATGCATTCCCACTAGTGTGCCACTTTCACCCTATTTTGTTTACTCTTGGTGGTGTTGTGTTCCAGACGTCTTTTTTAACAGTTGAGTAAACAAAATAATGAGTTCTTTCACTGAGCGAGTCAGTGTGAGGGCAGTGCTGTTTATCTTTATATCCTCAGTGGTGGCAGACAGATTCATACGGTGTCACAAGCATACTGACACAAGGTGCCCTGGCATTCGAAATGGCCAGAGAACAGGCTCTCGGGTGAAGAAAACTTAAAAATATATATATCTTTGTAGAAATCGAACACTCAGAGGAATTCCTATGGTTGTGTCGGACCAATCCTGAAATGTCAGGTCGTTGAAATTCCTCTGTTCACTTGCCAGGATAGAGATGAAGGGTGTGTGTATCTTTATAACACAAACACAAGGCTTCAGTGAAAATGTCACTCTGAAGATTGATTGCTGTATCATAAAGCAGTAGTATCAATTGTGTATGCTATTAACAAAATGTTAAATTATATCTGTTTTTGGCACATACATAATTCATTATACAAGCACAATATGCTAATGAGATGTACTATTAATGCTTAAATATTAGGCTAGCAGGTGTATCTGGCCTGAAGAGACTGTCATGAGCCTGGATTATATATTTTTTTGTTTTTTGATGTGGCACTGGGAGATGGACACTCGGCTTGCAACCGGTGATATGCCTCACGGCGACAGCCAGATATGAGCAAATACACAGCAGACTGGCCAGCTGTTACCATAGGTAATTAAGAGCTGAGGCACGCTTTTGGGCAGGAAAAGCCCCTGTACTGGGGGTGATGGACTGACAGCCAGAGGCTAGCTGTTTGGCAATCCACAACACAGGACAAAACACTGCAGTGTTTTACAGACCCTCCTGCCCCGGAATAGATACCACAAGCTGAAGTATCTCCTAGGAGATGCCTCTGAAGATGCTGCCACTGTTTTCAATGTGAAGGACACAGGCTCTATTCAGGGTAGCACCATTATAATTTTCTTCTTTAATGATGATTTTTATCAAACTTGTATATTTAAGTTCAGCAATTTCACTTAAATGGTAATGTTATTTAAGTGAAATTACTGAACTTAAATATACAAGTTTGATAAAAATCATCATTAAAGAAGAAAATTTCAAATGGCATTTAGAGGCTTTTGCATCTGAACTCTTCATATGTCACCATTTTAAAAGGGTCCATTATAATGTGCACTATTTGAAAAGGCTATATAAGTAATTATAGATTTAACATTTTAAGGAACTGATGTGTAGTATCTTCTTGTAGGCTAAGCTATTGCGTCATCATGATGTCTGAAAATGTAAACATGTTTGAGTTTAAAGTTCAGACGCTAGCCTGTTTTAAGTCAATGAAAAACAGTTAACCGGCATGATGCATCCACTCTCGTATTTATGTAGCCTATAAATTATTGCATCTGGCCAGAAAGGTAATCTTTAAACTGTACACTCTCAGTGAGTTTAGTTCATTGAAAACCATAAATCCGCTTCCAGTAAAAAAGTACGCTGTTTCTTTAACTGACCTTGCCTTGAGTAAACATTACCGTGCTCGCTAGTATTTTACACAGAGCGCTGCTACTGCCTCTGCCATAACTTCGCAGAGCCCGGGACATCATCTATTACTTGGAAAGAGAGGAAATAAATCATCAAAAGAAAAATTATTTACAGAGGACGTTAACAGTAGGACTCCGCGTGTGTTCACCTCTGTGTCTGATGGGCTCCCCTGTCTGCGGCTCACACCAGGAAGTGAGCAGGTGAGACGCACCTGTTTGGAACGCAGACTGAAACTCAACAATATCTAACTGCTTGCAAAGAGTTCGGATAACTGTATGATATGTCAAAACGCACATCACGTACATTACTCCAAACACATATTCGCTGATAAAAAGAAGACATGGACTTAGACCTCAACAGGGCTCCAAAGCCGGATTACGTGTTGCGTTTTTGAAATCCCGATACAGGTGGGACGCGAAATTGTTCACACGAGTTTCGGACATTGTTATGGGGAATCAAGTGGAGAAACTTACCCATTTGAATTACAATGAATTACCCACGACTGACCCTAATGGATTCGACCCAGAAGACGACACTCCACGCATCGGCGTGTCTTATATTTTCTCTGCGGATGACGACGAGCTAGAGGACAACATCGAGGATACTGAAAAGGACGACGTGAAACATTACGACTGCCGCAATGAATTAGAATGCGCGGTCTATTATCGTGACGAGTGTATATACGAAAGAAACAGCAGGTTCGGGGAAGTGGGAACGCTCTCGTGCGAGAACTTACCGAATAAGTGCAACCCCGGTGACCTGGTGGAGTTTGTGGCTATCGGCCAGTACCCGCACTGGGCAGTATGTGTTGGCGACCTACAGGTAGTTCATTTTTACAGAAACGAGATTAAATGCGACTTTCTTTTGGACGCAAGTCAAGGTAAAAGGGGCCGAATTGTAAACGACCTGTATAAGTTCCGCGCGCTGAGCCCGGATGTTGTGGTGCAGAATGCCATGGAGCAAGTGGGGATGAAAGAGCGAGATGTGTGCTGGAAGAACTCTGAATGCTTCGCTGCCTGGTGCAGGTTTGGCAAACGTGAATTCAAAATTGGAGGGGAGATTCGAATTGGAAAGCAGCCGTACAAGATGAAACTGCAGCTGTCGGAGAAGAAAAGTCACGTTTTGGACTTTCAAAGTTTAGAGGACTTGATCATGGAGAAGAGGAGAAACGACCAAATGGGAAGGGAAGCCGTCATACAGGAACTGGAGAATCATTTAAATGCCACAGAAGACACTGAGAATGATTACAACAATTGTAACTGATGGGTTCTCCAGTGGGCAAACAGCCTCATCGTGGAGGATATATGGGCTTTATTTGTAATCACCACAAGCACAGCGGTAGTGTTGCAATAGTGTTCATCTGTTTCTCAAGAGAGTTTTTGTCAGCAGCACTTTTATAAATTGGACAACTTCAACTTGTTAGTAATGATAATCCTGGTGTTTTTGTATTAAGGACACCATTCCCTCACTTTGCTAGATTTACATCTAAGGGAACGTTTTACAAGCCTTTCCATAATGATCTCATGTATTACCTTGTCACATATAGCCTATTTCAATAAAGTCTGATTATTTTTACTTAAACATGGTTTTGTTCTTCATCATGATTGTCATATAATCAATACAACGTTCAGAGTTCAGATTAACTCTTCCGTTTGATGGATGGAATTTTTTATTTATTACATTTTTTATTCTGTTAATGGTGACTGAGCTTTTTCTGCCCAGAGTGAATTCCTGATTCTATCATATTTATTTCATGAGCATCCAAGCATTTAATGATGAAAAACAGCCCAAAGGGAAAAAGTAAACATTCATTTATGAATATGATTAAAATTGATACATATAACTCTTGGTTCTATAATAACCAAGAGTGTAAAATGTTCAGAGGAAAGGATTTCTGAAGATATATGTTGTGTTCTCCCTGGGATTTTCATTATATTTTACTTAAATATTTTTGAATTTATATGCCATATAATAAATATCAAATGGATAACCACCATTGACTTTCATAGAATAAGATCAAATAAAAAATACTATGGAAGTCAGTGGTCCAACTACTGTTTGGTTATTCATACAGGTTAAGAACAACAAGAGTGAGTAAATGATTACATAATTTTCATTTTTTGGGGGAATTATCCCTTTAGGTTTTGGGTAAGCAGAAATTCTCACTCTCTTTTCTGACTTATGTTCATGGTGCATTTGCCTTTTGTGTTTTTTGTATGTGTGTCCATTAGGGATTTAATATAATATGGTTATGTATTATCTTATTATATCTTATTCAATATAATAAGATACGTTTGGTAGTATCTGTGAGATAACACTGCCCAAAGAAAGTGTTGTTTAGCCAAAGAAGAGAGGATTTGTACAGAAGTTGACTGTGCTTGATAAGAGGATGCTCGAAAAGATAACCGCTGCTTTTTGAAGTGTCTCAAACTAGAAGTCTTAATTAGATTTAAGTCTCAATTTAAAGTAATTTCTGATCTAATTTAAGATACTGACTGATTAGACAGATTTAAGCATAAAAGCTTGTTTTTATTAAATAACGGTGCTGGTTTAGACTTATAATTAAGCTCTTATCTTATCCGTATATTACTTGCATTATCAGTGGCTCAATATGCCTGTGATGCCCCACAGGTCACACAAAAGAGACTAAATATATTTTAAAAGGGCTTTTGCAGTTACCCAGTGATTGACATTCATCTCCAAATCCTCTGAGAAGAGCCACGTAAAGCTTTCCTACTCCTCACCACGCAGTACATCAAACAAAGTTTTGGGCCAAACTGCTGTCTTATGGGTACTGATTTTATGAACTATCACGGAAATACTAAGACAACATATAAACAAACTGCCCGTCTTGTTCAACAGGGTGAGTTTTTCTGTATAGGACAGGATGTTAAATGGTAAGTACAATTACTCCCTCAGACTGAGCTGTTGTTTTGACTTTGTACTGTTTGTATTATATATCAAAGTAAGTTACAAATGCATAATCAGAACAAGCCAATCTTTACTCTGTTATAATGTGTTATCTTTCTCATCCCTTTTCTTTGCCAGGGCTTGTTGGGTTAGTCACACTGTGGCTCTGACTCTCAAACCCTCCCTCACTTCTATGGAAACATTGAGACTGTTTACAGAAGGTCAGATGGTAAAACAAGTCTGAATTCCAGGGAAAGAAAATGAGAGCAATCCATTCACTCACCTGCTGCTCCTCTTATAAACTGATGGTCAAATATGACCATCAAATATTTTATTCTTATATTACTATAATAACAGCATTTATGTAGAAACTTATATATAGCCTGTGCGCGTGTGTATTTTATGATACCCACGTCTTTATTCCAGATCTGATCTATTTGTATACAGCACACATGTACATACAATTTTGTTTATTTTATATATACATATTTAGTATCTTATTTTACTATCTGTGTACTGTGTTTGTCTCTGTGCATTGAGCTTCTTCTGTCACCAAAACAAATTCATTGTGTGCAAATACACTTGCCAATAAATCTCTTTCTGATTCTAGTATATATTTTAATAATATAATGCATAATTTAACCACAGCCATAAAAATGATCTCCGGTGTTAAGATCTCCTCTCAAATGAGATAACTGTTACTTAAGACCACATAACTCGGTACAATTATTTACAGCTCTTTGATCAATGAATCCTCTTGATACTGATCCAGTTTTAATTTGCTGCTCATTCTCTGAAGTTCAAATGGATAATGTGAAGTTAAATCTCTGCGTATTAAAAGATCCATTTCAAAGGCATTATGCTAATTTGGTAAAAATGCCCCCTTCATAATAATAAGCTGTATTGTCCAGATGATTTTTTTTGTTGCCATCTTTAATTCCATTGCTGATGAAGGTTTAAACTCGTGTTTGCAGCTGAGATATGAAAGAAGTCCTTCGGGTTCTCCTGGCTAAAAATCGATGAAATCCTTCAGAATTTGTATAGAATTAAGACCATTTATATCATGAAATTTAAAGCACATTATATCTCTTCAGTGTTTTATGTGTGTGTGTTTTATGGACATTTGGGAAGAAATTGTGAAGAAGCAGAAATGTGACCAGATTAAGACTATGTTTCGATTACATCATTCGCCTCACACAAGTAGGTAGGACATTTTCTGGTTTAACAACCAATGGAAATTAAGCATTTTTCTTGGAAATAAAAACCTTGGGCTGGCATTTTTTTCCCCCAAAAACTAAAAAAAAAAAAAAAAAAAATACATTGCATAAGCGTGTGGGTAGGATATCTTGTTATCATAACCTGTATGACCGATTCTTATAGTTCAGTAAAAAGTATAATTTGAATCTAATTTGAATGTGAATCAATCATTTAGATTTAAAAGGATGTCAGTTGTGTTGGTCCGTAACTTAATACATTTCAGTTTCACATGATAATATTTCTCAGGAAGTGTTAAAACATGCATCAGACACTAAATAGCCTAAGTCTTTAATTTCCAGAGAAGAAGATTATTCCAGTGCAACACAGCTACATCTCCCAGCTGTGCAATGTGTTATTGCAATTTATTGTGAGACTAATTACATGGGATCATTACACTCCCAACAGCAATCAAAACTGTCTCCCGCAAGTAAAAGAATAAAGATTAAAATCATTATATATTCAATGGCATGTAAAGGAAGAGCAACATAAGATTTGCACTTAGCTAGCTGACACTGGTAAGGAATTGTGAGAGATGGTGGAATAAAATGTATTGAAGCACTGGTTTGAGGTGTGTTAACTAAAACTGAGACAAAACAGAGTTAGCTTTTAGAAGAAATGAATAAATAAATACAATAATAAAATCATAAGGATTTGGGTTCACATGGTTTACAAAATGGCCATATTCCTCAGTACTGATAAGGATATTCTGACTTTTATCTGCTTACACAATAAGAGGAACAAGAGGAAGTACAACACCCTTCCTATGATCCTTGTGAAAATGCTTCAGACAATTGTTGGGAATAGCTGGGAAAGCTCACAGGACAGGCAGTGCCAAGAAGCCGTACCTAAAAATAAATAAATAAATATAAATATGCAACTGAGCTGTTGTGTTGACTGCTTTTAATGTTTTTTTTTTCTTTCCATAATTTAAAATCAGAATCTGTATGTTTAAGTGAGCATTTAATTTTGGACAGTTTTGTTTGGACAATTGTAAAATTGAGTAATAAATAAAAAAAAAACAATCAATCAGAGCAACTCCCAAAGAAACATTTCATTTAAAAAAAAGAAAAGAAGAAGATATTACCTGGAGACACTGTATCAATTATTAACGGACAGAACAGTCCTGCTTTCCTCCTATATTCCAGCGAGCACAACATTGTGTTCCAGGAAACATCTTATCAGAAGAGCTGAACAACTTCCAGGATTTCCTTGGCCAAAGAACACTTCAGGCGTTTGCACCGTACCAGTCAAAGCCATTCTCTCGAGAACACTGCCACAATGTCTCTAAAATTTTCAGAAGGTCACGTCTTCATCATGTGTTCTATGAGTGCTAAACTAACTTTTAATTCTAAAAATACAACACAGGCCTACGACTTGCTATATGAAAACCATCTGTCTGGGATTTACACTATGCTGAGTCATGATGAAACCTCAGCCATTCATTCATGACATGATATTCATGGCCTGCTGCACAAGCATCAGATGAAGTTTTAAATCCATCCATTGCTCTTTTTTCCGCTTCCTCTGACACTCATCCTTCCCTTTTGTGTCATATCCTGAATCTTCTCTAATCCCATATTTGCCAGAGCACAGCCAGCCGTTCTGGTCCCTGTGTTTCTTGTTTGGCTAATTCGTGGCCAGTCACTGGTGAGCCATTCATGTGCCCCCATGATGCAGAGCAACAGAAGCAGTGAATGACGCTCTTTAAGACTAGGTCTTAATACCCTCAGTGAATGAGGGTGTCAGAACCGTGCTGAAGAACTCACCCTCAGTTCAAGCAGAAAGAAGGATCAGGGGCTTGGGGAATTTGTGCCATTTTCTTCTAAACCTGCCTTATAAACCAGTGCAACCACAAATTTTATGTACTGATATTGGAGATTCACAAGTCCTTGCATCAATCCTACCACAGATAAACAACTTCTATAAATGAGAAGCAGGAAAATGAGAGACCACTTTGAATATACCCCTCAGGCTCTGTCAGTTTGCAAAGCTCAGTGTTCTGACAAGATAAGAGGATGACCCTGTTACTGACTTTTTTCAGGCCAAGGATCATCAATGTGACACGTATTCGCCCAGCTCACTCTGACTGGCACTTTTGTCACACAACACTCCTTTACTCACTGCCAGTGAACAATGTAGAGCTCTATACAAATACACACCCATCCACACACTTACAGAGGCATAAAATTACCAGGGCAAGTCAGAATCAAATTATCCAATCTATTTCCCAGCACTGGCACAGGAAAAATCTAAATTGGGTCAGAAACTTTGATAGAGTGAACTATTTCTCTTGACCCGATGTACTGACTCTTGCTATGGAGACTCCTGTTTCTGGCTTCTCTCATCTTTCTTCATGAGTAATTTTCATGAAAAGGGTAATGAAAAATTTACTAATAGAACTTTTCAATTACATTTTAAGAGTATATATAATTTTATTAGGTTTATTAGATGTGAAGCCACCTGTATTTAAGTGTACTATACTAAAGGGATTATGTACACATTTAATAAAAACTATTGATGATGATATTTGTCAAATCAAATACTTTCTAGAATGAGAATGCCTCTCCCTCAATACCATCTGCAAGTGCAAAATAGCTAATCATGGTGCATAGCAATGACATAACTAAAGTCTACTGGCTATTTAAATGGGCTGTGTTTAAAACAGTGGAGCCTTCAATATGTCTTGCCTGAACTAATGAAACATATACCATTTAAAAAGAAGTATCTTATCTTTAGCCCATAAGAAGTATCTTATCTTTAGCCCAGTGTTGTAGGACTCAAGACAGATCTTGGTTTCAAGACCATTATTTAAAGGTCTTGTCTCGACCGTATCTCGACTAGGTCGGTCCACGTCACTGAGGGGGGCTCGGCAAGAGCCACACTTAGTGAAGCGAGGCATTTGAAACAATGCCTCAGATCGTTTAGACAAGTTTTTTAGAGAAGCAAGTATTGAAAGGATATGGGCGCCAGATAGCTTACGCAACTCGAGAGTACTCTCGTAAGAGACCTCGTAACTTCCTGCTTCAAATGCAATCAATAACTTATTTCTAACTTAATTTCTTTTGTTACTGTTCTGCTGGGTCAGAATTTAACAGGGAATAATAAAAAAATCCACCAAAATTAATACAAATGCCCCCCAAAACTAACATGAAAAAAGTACTTAAATGTCTTGGTCTTGACTTGATCTCTCCCCACCTTGCTCTTGGTCTTGTCTTGGTCTCAGTACACTATGGTCTTTGTTTAGGTTGCCTTAGTCTCTGGCTACAATCAAGGAATTTATTTTTTAAAAGTACAGTAAATGTCATTTTAAATTAGATTATTTTTACTGTATGTTGTGGAATATCATTACAATTTAAAATAACTGTTTTTTTCTTCTAATGTATTAGTCTAATGAATTTTTAGCAGCCATTACTGCAATGTCACATCATGATCCTTCACAAATCATTAATTCTTGCTGATTTGGTGCTCAAGAAACATTTCTATCTCCCCCATGTTAAAATTCCCAACTTTACAACAGAAAAAAAACATGTTTACAGCCTGGAGCAAAAAGTGGTTTTGGTCTTTATAGCTTATTTTGCTCTTCATGACAACTGTGAGGGGGCTGAATTATTTTTTGAATCTTTGTGCTTACTTTTCACATCGACTTTCCCCAGCCAAGAAGGATGACATTGGTAACTGGGAGCTGTTGCCTGTAAATTGCCATGGGAGGACAAGAACATTGAAAGTCATCCAGAGAAAATTTTGGTGGCCTAACATGCAACCAAAAGCTCAGGTTTCTGTTGCTGCCTGTGGTGTGAGTGGCCAAAACAAGGAACCCTGAACCCATCCTCGTGGCCTACAGCACTTACTACCCATTCCTACTTGCCCCTTGTCCCACATATCTATGGACTTTGTTAAGGGTCTACCAAGATTTCAAGGTAACACTGTAATTCTGGTGGTGGTAGACCTTTCTGAAGCATGTAATTTTTATACCATTACCCAAGATTCCCACGGCAGGTCAGATAGTGGACTTATCTATGCAAGATGTCATCAGAATCGGGGATCACAGTTCACCTCCCGGTCTCCCGGTTCTAGTAGTCTTTCGGGCGCCTAATTGGGGCATCCATTAGCTTGTCCTCTGGATTTCACCCCCAATCAAATGGACAGACAGAGAGGGTTAACCCATCTGATCTGGGGTGAATTTGCACACAACACTCTACACCACTCATCTTTAGGCATGTCTCATTTTGAATGCCAGTTTGGTTTCCTTCCCCGTCTGTTCCCTGAACAGGATCCTGAGGTCCGTTCACCAGCCTCTGCTCAACTTGTCCAGAGGTGTCGTTAGGTATGGCGGAGAGCACAAGCAGCCCTTCTAAGAGCCAATCAACAACAGCAGAGACATGCAAACCAGGACTGTAGAATTGGACCATCACATAGACCATGACTAGGAGTGTGGCTGTCTACTAGGGATCTACCTCTGGATGTTGAGTCAAGCAAACTAGTGCCTCACTTCATCTGACATTTCAAAATCCTCAAAAGGATCAAACCAGTGCCCTACTGTCTTCTTCTGCCCAGGTCCATGCTAGGGTTAACTGAGGGTTATGGCCCGGAGGAGCAGTCTTGGGTGCCAGCCAGACCCTTTCTTGTTATCTTTTGTCTTCTGGTTTGTATATCGTACTCGGTTACTAATGTAACCTCGGTTCTCTCTAGAAGAGTGAACGAGTAAAATCTTGGGAAAACTTCTTTTCCATAAGATAGTGAAGCCAAAATACTACACATCGATCTTACATATTTATGAATGAACTGCCTGTTTTAAAATCTTCCTGGGCTACTGACATTGGTTAATACATCTGTTTTAAACATTACAATGTGTGTGATAACTTTTGTTAACTCTACAATAAGTAAATCCATTTCACTAGCTAATTACTCTTCGACAGCGATGCCATAGAAATATACAGAGCAATCGAGCGACCGCAAAACCAGAAGTTCAAAGACAATATTGTAAAGATGGTTGCATGCTTGTTTCTCTGGCGCATAAGGTCTATATAGAAACAATTAAAAAAAAACTTTGTCATGTGCCCATTTTTTATTTAAAAGTGTGTCCGTATGAGAGAGAACGATACAATTTTGCTTCATAACATGTGTAACTCTTCATTCCTGGAACATTTCATGCCATGGATTAAGGTTCCAAATCCACATGAATCTACCTCATATACAGTACATTCACCAAAACAAGCATTCAGAGTAAGTCTAGGCTACTTCACTTTAAGACATAAACTCTATTTGTTGTGCTTGTGGGTTCAGTTAAGGAATGTGTTTTCATAGTCTGATAAAATATCAAGATACATAAGCCTGAAACTGATAACTAGCTGCCAAGGTCAGGATAGATGCACACTCCTCCAGTATTTGTCCTGCCCAACACATACCTAGCATAAATTATGATTAGATGAAGTCAAACAGTTTGTCATTTCATATATTTCAAATAGATAAGAAGGATGAAGTTAGAAAAGGAGGGATACTGCACACTCAAATATGTATAGTGGATTTCCTCTCACACTGAAAAAAAAATTAAGCAAACAAATCCAACCAAGTAAAAAAAAAAAACCTGCTGTTTCTTTCTGAGTAGTTCGCGCATGCCAGGCTTTGGGTAAATAGTGCACAGGAAGCAAAAGAAATTGTTTGAAATCCTATTAGAAAAAAAAAACCTGATGTAAGATTATTAAAAGATTAGCTTAACCTAGTTTCATCTGAACGCTCTCTTTGTTTGTCCATATGTCCTGCAAACAAATAGCTTTTACTCAGAATCATGAAATATGCACTCGTACGCCACTCAATTCAAATTGTAATTATAAAAAATAATCCCAAATTCATAGGCCTATTTGTCTTTTCCATATTACATGGGACAGAACCGAGGGAGAATAACCATGTGGAAGACTAAATCTTCTGAATTACTTATACAGTTAACACAACTTAGGGAGATTAACCATGTGGAAGACAAAATATGCTGAATGATTTATACATGCAGCAGAGCAATCATTTAGCTACCATTAGGCCCAAATCAACAAGGCTATCTGAACGAAGACACGCCTAGCTATGTAAGATCGATTCCTGTGTTACAATTAAGTTACAACAATCTATAGTTGCAAAAAAAAAAAAAAAAAAAAATGGTTTCCGAAATGTGGCATCACGGCAAATATAATTGCGTGAATTTATTTAAAGGCCCGTTCACACCAATAACGAATAGCGACTTGCCAACGCACCATAACTTTCTGTTTATCGTAAGCGTGCGCTGCAGTGTCGCCTGCCGCCACGTTCGAGATCTTCGAGAAGTATTAAGGATTATTGTCTGTCAATGTTTTTACCGTTTATCAGCTGGGAAATCCAGTAGCACCTCATTGCAGTAGCCTACACGAGATCCAGGGGCGGAGTTGGCTCCAGATCTAAGGGTGGAGATGTGTAGGATTAGGGGTGGGGTTAGGGAATCAGGGAGCGAGATGGGTAGGTTTAAGTAACTTCTGGATCCAACTTCTCCCCCTGGATTTCGTGTTCTGCAGTGAGGACCTTCTCAGAAAAAAGCGTGTGATTCCAAGACATAATGTCCATGATTCCATTTCCAACGACAACGTTCCTCTGTCTCGTTATACAGTCGTCAAAATTTGAAGTGGATCAAAACCACTTCAAAAGTTATACATTAATTTTGACCAATACCCTTTTCTTGTCTGACAACTTTGATGAACTTTTTTGATCCACTTCAAATGTGGACTACTGCAGATAGTGGTGTGGATATTAATGAGAACGATTAGTCCACTAGGGAGGTGAAAGCTTGCAAATAGCTCTATCTATTGAACAATCTAATCAAAATAATTTTCCTATCAACCTATTGGATGCTGTCAACAATTCCCCATCTGTTCCTATTGCACTTGAAAACCAATACAGCTGGCTTCACAGTTTGTGCTCTCAATATGGCTTATTACCTCAAAGTATGATTCAAAATTGGCTGTTTTAAACAGCCTTGCATGGCTGTTAGAACAGCATGTCTTAGAAATAAATATTAGATTTTTGCTACTCAATATTCACAAAAACGTCCATTGTTTGCAAAGACAAACAAAATATTGAATCTGTTGTAATCAAGAAGACAAGATAAAATGCACAGAGTGCACAAAGTGCTTCAAAATAGCCAGGACATGAATGATATGAAGAATGACAAGTCTGAAGACAGACAGAGTAGGCCTATACGCTGGATGTGACATGTACACTGAGATAATAGTGCACTCTTGTGGACGTTTGAAGTGGTCACATTTAATCTAGTATCAAATTTAAATAGCTCTCTATATGCCAAGCCATATCAAGCACCTTTCAGTTTCATTTCCTTGATTTTCTTTTTTTTAATATAAACTTGACTTACATAGCCTAAACATAGATCAACATATCAACAAGGGGAAATGCTTATAAGTATATATTTCAGGATTTAAAGTTCAGGATTCAGGATATAAATTCAGAACAAGACATTCATCATCACCAAAAAAAGTCCCTTTTGTCTAACTGACTCACTGCAGTCATGCGATTTCTAAACAGGTCCGCTATACACAGTGTCCACTTCCTTAGCCACACACACACACACACACACACACACACAACAGTGCATGATCGGTGTGGCTTAATGCTTATTTCGACCCCACATGTTGTCTATAAAAAACAGACAAAAATGATCAAAGGCCACATAATCAAAATAAAACATATTTATTTATACATGAAGAGCAAGGGAATTCTATTCTGATATAGATTATTACAAAGATATATTATAAATAAATAAAAATGACAACAACTGTGACAGCTATATTAAAAAATTTAGAAAACAAATTCTTGAAGATCATTTCATTTCCATAAACTATGAACATTTATTTATTTATATTCATGTTTTTATATGTATGCCACAACCAATCAAAATAATAAAACAATTCTTTGCATAAATCAAGTACTATAGCTTATTTAGGGGTAAATACACAGATGCAGTTTGACAACTTAATGAACTTATGCAATCTCTAATTCTTGTACGTGATCCATTATTACCATTATGTCATACAGTCACCTCATTTCCGATACTGCTGAAGATCACTGTATATATCTGATTGGACTCCATAAAGTTCCTGTCAAACCATTTTGAAAATTATTACATGCATAAACACATTTATGTTGAGATTTACCCAAAATTGGTATTAAAACTCACAAATACTTTGCATTTACGATAAATACTGATTTATATATACATTAACCTGATATTGTTTACCTGATATGGTGATTCTACTTCAATTGTCTTTGACCTCATTGATGGCTGGTGATTTTTTGCTTTGCCTTAACATCAGAAAAATAAGTAACTTTGACTGGAACTCATAGTTTTGATTCTTTTTATTTCGCAAACAAAACAAGACATACCTGACCCATAGAAACTGGTCTGCGCCTGTAAACTGCCGCTTCTTTTCTGATGGGAAACAAAACAGTAGACTGAGAGAGCGATGAGGAGTGTGAGGATGATGTCACACGCGATGATCCCAACCACTCCAATGTCCAACTGGTAACATGAACTGCAGTCTGAGAATCAGAAAACATTGGCACACTGATGTTCTAATATAGGCAAAAAGAAGATTCAGCTGAATTTCAGAGATCTTTATTACCTTGATTCCCCTCAACAAAGCCTGCTGATAAAAGTAAGAAGGGAAAATATTATTGTGGCATGTTCTAAAATCAATCAACAGAATTGAAAAGGCTATTTTATCTTGATTACTTGCAAACTGTAAATAAAATAAAAAATTAAATATAAAAAGTTGCTACCCCTAAGTTTTAAGTACAATCAGCTTGGATGTTTAAGTCATTTCGACTTAAATTACGTTCAACTGACTTTAAAAAAATGAATTGAATTATATAACTGATCAAATTTTGATTTTTTTTTGAAAAATGCTTATTTTTATGAGTTAAAGCAATGTAAAATCATGTCATAACTTATTGATCATAGAGGTTTTCACAGTGTGCAAGTACACATAAAACCACAAATAAAATACAAAATAGTTAAGAAATCCATTTTTTTTGCAACTCCATTAAACTGATACTGCCTATTTATATTTATTGCAATACTTAAAAGAAGCATTCTATGCCATATCAATTAGTTAAATAAGATATTACATACAAAGAATACTTACATATTCAATTTAGAACATATACATGACATATACATGAATTGTAACTTAATACTATATAATATGCACACATTTTATGCTTTTTCAACATTGCGATTGAATTACCATCTATTATAGTGAGTTTTGTAGTGAAAAGTATGCCAAAGCCAAATGTCTTCAACCACTGAAATGTCTTAATTGTGATTCAAAGACAGGAAATATTTGCCAAAGCATAACTGACCACAGAGCAAACTGACCATTTTAATGCTGATGATTTAAACTAGTGAAGAAGAACAATACATATATATATATATATATAAAAATCAATTCCAATCCAAGTTCATTTGAAGAGTTCAGATGCAAAAGCCTCTAAATGCCATTTGAAATTTTCTTCTAAAATGATCATTTTTATCAAACTTGTATATTTAAGTTCAGTAATTTCACTTAAATGGCAATGATAATTACCTATTAATTGTTATTTAAGTGAAATTTCTGAACTTAAATATACAAGTTTGATAAAAATCATCATTAAAGAAGAAAATTTCAAATGGCATTTAGAGGCTTTTGCATCTGAACTCTTCATTTATAATTAAAACCTATGAAAGTTTGTAAATGTACTCACCAAAAAGTCCATTCATAGGGACCATTAGGTATAGAATCCTTCTCATAATGAGCGCAGAATTACTCAGGGTTGGTACAGTCCTGACTTGAGGTTTCTTTAAAACAGCGCAATACGCCTTTCTGGCTATGAGCTAGAACACCTTGAATATCAGAGTGGATTATATGGAAATTGCCTGTGTGTGAAAAATCACTGAGTATGTGTTGATGACTTATCACCATCCATCAAAATAGAACCAAAGGATAGAGGGGAGGAGCTACACGTGCTTGTGCTATCTGAGGTAACATTAGTCTCTCTTCTCCCTTGCTACATCCCCACACACACTTAACCTATAGTTCAGTATTTCATTTGTTTACATTGTATCCTGTCAATGTTAGAATATATAGGCTATTTCTAGCCTTAAAGTACAAGATTAAAATACATTGGAGACTAAATCTGAGCATACATCTTTAAAAAAACCCATCTTTTCAAATGTCCTTCTTAGTAAATGCGGTTGCACTTCACAGTAAGTTAGTAAGCGGCTAGTGAGAGGGACCTGGTTGTTAATGCGGTTAAGTCTCACTGCACAGGATGTGACTACTAAAGCCAGTATCTGATCCCCTAAAACAGGTAGAAAAAAAAACCTATATCCTGTTCCACTTAACTATGTTTTTCTTAGCAAAGTGTGCTTCAGTGATACAGGTGTGTGTACTTGATTCAACTAACTAAAGACAAACTAACTGACGAGGTATACAGTCACAATCTGACAGATAAATGACCTTTTGCCTTAAAGTACTTGAGATTTTTAAAGATTATTAGTTATACATTCATATTAAAAACAAACATTTTGACGTTTGAATGACTTGCATTTCAATGGACATTGCGGATATGATACATTATGTGTTACATTAAGTGTTAAAGAATTTAAATTAAGACTTTAAACAATATCATTATTCCAAAATATCCTTATCAAATAAGAGTGGTGACAGAACTATTAACATTTTTTGATAATTGCAAATAAGTCTAGAAATTTAAGTGATGAAAACGGTAAAGATTCATTTCTTTCTGCTTCCCCTTTTTTCCAATGGAGGACTCACAGTCTTGTGCTTGTTTTAGACAGGAATTTCTGGGAGATTCCAGAGTACAGTCATTTGATACTTTAAAAATTTATAACAACAAAGACATGCTTATGGAAAAGCACATATGTAACAACAAGGACATGCTAGGACATACAGCCAGGACACGTTTTTTTTTTTCTTTGCTGATTTGTTGATTGGTAACTGTCTGCAGAAATAAAGGCCATTTCTTACGCTCATTATCAGCTCAGAACAGATGTGATTGGAGAAAGTCAAGATCATTAGATAACAGAGAGAACAAAGCAAATGTTAATCTACATACACAAATCTGCAATACACCTGCAAAATAAATTTCATGTTGTGCAGAAGATCAAACAAATCCATAAATCCACTTTTTTAAAAAGATATGATTTATTAATTGTTTCATTATATGCAGAGAAATTATACAGAACTCTGCACTTTTTTGCATATTAAGCTATAATGCCACAGAATCAAATTGTAACCTTACTAATCACCTAAAGCTCATGCAAAGAAACTGAGATGGCATCATGTCTGTCTTATACAGACCTTTTTCTTATTGACGCATGTAGAAACATAATGCATAATTGCACACTTTCATGAACAAAATTACAAAATTGTTTGTTTTCTTTGTATAATATAAGTTTCATAAAGCTTGATTATATTACATTTTAAAAGTCACTTTCTCCTAGAGCAAGGAAAGAGTAGTGAGACAGAACTATCCACTAGCTAGCAGTGTTTTTCCTTCCTGCAGTTATTGCTGTTGATAATCTACTAGACTTAGTTAATAATATTAGTTTCCAGTGTAAGTAATTTTGTCTCATCTACAACTACTGTATATCAACAAGAAGACTTAAGAGTGTATTCCAATTTTGCTAAAATGTAAAATATAAGTCCTCTATTATCATTTTATGTAATATGATATTAAATGTCAGTGAGTCTTCCATAGTTCTTCAAAAGATCATGTTTTGCAGTTTGCTCTGACATTCATGTAGACTTCGTCAGCTAAAAAAAATACATCAACACAGGCATGTTAAATTTCATCTGTGCATTTACATGACAATTACAGTATGGTTAGAGTGTGTGTAATTTCTGACCGTTTTCTTTCTTTTGTCTGCGCTTGCTGGCATACCAGTAGGTGGTAGAAACAATGAAGATCGTCACTGCAACATCAGCGAATATAATACCAGCCATAGTGCCAGAGCCAATGCCATAGCATGAGCCTTTGTCTATGGGAAAAGAAAAACATTAATGTAAGGATATGTAAACAGGTGCAGTATTGTGCAGGAGTCAGTCGAATATTTAGGATTTATATGCTTATTTAAATATAGCCTGACTGAACATGCTAACAAAACACAAAGCTCACAATATAAATTCTTACCTTCAACAGCACTGACCATAGCTTTATAAAGGTTAGGGAGAAAAAGAAACACATGTAATGTAGATAGGACTACTTTTTATAGTGATGTAATAATATATGGTAATCAATTCTTAGAAAAAAAAAAATGGAGCAAGATAAACAAGTCATTAAATGATGGCACAATCAATGTGACCTAAGCCTAAACACCAGACAAAAGAAATTGTGAAAATTAACACCAATACTTTGCTTCAGAGTACCCACATCTAACAAGATATTGCTGCAAATATGCAATGCACGGTGGTCTCAAATAACAGTAAAGGAAGGGGTGGGGGAAAAAAAACCGCTAGTGTCGCCTACCTAGCAGAGAGAGGAAAAAAATGCCGTTCTTTGTCATTTCCTGTGTTTGAAACGTGTGATCTTGTCCTCTCACCAAACCTAACAAGAGAAAATGTCCAAATTAGAAAAATATGCAAAAGCTCAGACAGAGAACAGCGCTTACAATAGAACTAATATTTAAACATTAATAGCCTACTGACTTTCGTGCTATAAGTTAAGTCATAAGTTAATGTAGCCTATTATATATCACCTACAAGTTATTCAATTTACGATGATCAACAAACTAGACATTTCTGCAAAGAAATCTGGTAAGTCAAGTGACAACACTGGACTATCGTAATATGATAGTGAACTGCAACATACAAAATGTAACATTTACCACAAGCTAGTGTAGTAGGCGATATGGTCTGACATAATTTAAAACATTCTTGCCAGTTTTAAAAGTAGGCTAAAGTTAAATAAGACGACCAAAAGAGTAGGCTACGCTTGACACAATATTGTAGCCTAGTTATATTTTTTAAATGAAAACAGAGGCTATAGGCTACTTTAAAACAACGAAGATAGTCTCGCTTACCAGGGAAGTGATGCACAGCGATTCATTTGATCTTTGATGACATTTTGCTCTTTTCGCTTTTCCGCCCACTCGGTTTATTTTTCCCGGATGAGTCATAGGAGTCGGTTTAGCCTGTTGAACACCTCCCAAATGCTACGACTTTGCTGGCGAATCAAAAATCTGAATAAACCCAAAGAATTGCCATGTTATCCAACAATTTGACTTTACTCTCAGTAACAACGCCGCCTTTACATTTTTATTTATTTAGCACAAGAAAAAAAACAGATAGATATTAAAACAATACCTATGGATTTTGCAGGAGAGGTAAGAAACCCACAAGGGCTTAGTAAAACCTCTCCTCTGGATTTTCAATTAATACCACACCAAATTATTATAATAGCAACAATCATCACAATAATGACAGACAATTAAAGACAACACAGACATTTTTAACAATAACACAAGTGTTTTTTAATGCTTCACGTAAATACTGACAATAAGCTAGTTTTAATAAAAAGGGGAATACTATTCCAAAGTGACGGTCCTCTATATTTGAAGGAAAATTGACCAAGTGTTGTATGATAATAGGGAAGAAATGAACATTCTTTGCTTGTCGGGTTGGATAAATGGACATCAAATAGGCTAGTTATTAAACACTTTTGGGAGGCTATGATATTGAACCATATATTTGTACATAAAGATACATGTTTGATAGATGTTTATGCTGAAAATAGATAAAATATTTAATTGCTTAAACAGAGGAGCTGATGGTTCACACAGATTAGATGCTGTCTCCATGAGAAATGTGACCTTAATGTTATTTTTATAACTAGATTTCACTTTGAACTCAATTGCAACAGCATTAATTCCAGAGAACCACCAAAACAGTATCAAATGACATCACAATGTTAGATTCTTAAAAGTGATGGCAGCGGATATAAATTATTTATTTGCACATCAATATGTAGTTTAAAAAAATATTAAAGAGTCATTAAGTAGGTTACAGAACACACATTTATATCACTAAAAAAGTTAGTTAGCTTGCAGCTTTTCTTAACAAATGGCTCGCATTTATTTTCAATCCTACTTACAAAAATAGGGAAATAACTTACAAAATAAAAAGTAAACAGACAAGTAAACAGACACTGACATTTTTACTGATTTTCAAATATGTTATAATTTATTGAATTTGCTGTGAAAATGAAGTTTTGTGGCATTTGCATATTTATTTTTGCTGACAGAAAAACATTTTGCCCCCACTTTGACCATCAGAAACTCCACTACAGGAATGAGTAAAGAACAGAAGATACAGTACATAATGTCACAATCAGAAGCTGAAACTTTAAACCAAGCAGGACTGATAAGATGTGCAGTCTCGCACAAAAGACCAGAATTAAGCTGCTGATCCAACACTACCTCAATTTCCCAAATTACCCTGAAATAAATATAAATATAAAAAACAAAAAAAAAAACAAACATTTATTCCAATGTCCCAATCTACATTCATTGTATCTAACACGATAATCTGGAAATGTAATAAGATACCTTGAAAGAAACGTCAACACTCAAAACACACTTGGTTTTAACATACACCCATCTTTCCCAAATTTTTATTGGGTAAAAAAATAATTGTGAAGTTAATGGTGTATTACTAATAACCAGGCGTATCAATTTAAAATAATAAAAAAAAAGAAAGGTAGTAAACACTCTTGAACAAAATGTCACAACTCTGTACCAGATCGTAGTCTTTTTCTTGATGGACTACAAGAGGATTGTTCTGTAGTGTGAGAGGGACAGTTAGTAGGAGAGCACGCAGGACTGTCTGTGTCGGCCGCATGCTTCATGTAGTGCTGGATCATATCTTTTTCAGGAAGGACTTGTCCACAAGTCACACATTCATGAAGCTCAGCATCCAACATATCAACTCCACTGTCTTCATCACCAATCTCCACTTCCATGCTGCTCAAATCCACATCTTCATTCATTTCCACCTCTACCTCGAAACCAGATTCGTTTTGCCCCTGAGGACCACTTTCTGATCCGTCCCCAGTCACCGTAAAATTCATTAGTGACTCTGCACACATCGTGTCAGATTCCTTGAATAATCTCTGATCTGTACTGTCCTGTGTATCCAGCATTTGCTTCTCTGATTTTCTCATGAAAGGCACACTAACTTCTACTTCTGCCATTAGTGGTGAGGAGTTAAGGCCATTCAAATTTGAAGACTTTTTCTTGATGATGTCATCATCCTTTTCCTCATTTACCTTTTTTAGACACAATGGTGTCACTGGGCATGCGGAATTGAAAGATGCGGCATCTGATGAACACCCTGGATGCGATTTTTCATCCCTCAATATATTAGGGTCCCCATTTGATTGATTTTCCTGCTCATTCTCCACCTCTACTTGTGTAGTACCGTTCATTCCCTGGTTCGCCTGCGCTGCACCTGCAGCCTGTTCACCTGCCTTTACATTTTCTGTATCAATAACTTGAACAGAACCCTGATCTTCTAAAATGGTCCATCTCTTCTTCGAGGAACTGTCATGACTTTCCACAGGAATAAGTGTATTTGAAGGAATGTTGGTTCTGCTGGGCTCTACGGTGTCTTTCTCTGCTTCTTTGCTAATAACAGATCCAGGCGGGACCACCGGCATGGAAATTACATGCGGAGCAGATGAGCGCGTTTCTAAGACTAGAGAGGATGACAAAGGGTTTTGGGATCTCTTGGTAGGATCTGAGGTAGATGAGTACTGTGCAGTGGAAACTGGCACAAGCATGACTAAAGGCATACCTGGAGTTTGCTCTTTATTTAAGGTAAGCTTCCACCCACCATCAGCAGGCTTAGTCTGGTCACCTAAAGGAACCATGCGGACATCCTTCAAGCTATTGGAGAATCTGACGGGGTTTGAGGCCTGAGCAATAGTTTGGAAGACCACGTTAGGAGCAATTGTTTTCATTATTTGTGTAGAGGGGGTTGGTTTTGGTTTTGGTTTCTTCACAGAAGCCTGTAAACAGAATAAGGTTACAGTATGGAGACATTTTTTCAACAATGACATATTCTCAATATTTTAATATTAAAGGGGAACTTGGCAACTCTAGCCATTTCTTTGCTGATTTTCACTGTTTTTACATGTTTTCTCACCGAGCTTCCCCTACAGCTGTGGGGTGTATTTCACAAACCTGTCCGTTAAAAAAAAAAAAAAATGCTTTTGTTATTATTGGAGCCGGCCAACTTTATCGTGTGGAGCCATGTCTACCGAGCTGGGTTATACATCATAAACAGTATCATATAATTGTCGAATTGCAATAAAGCAGTTTGTGTTTCGCACTCGTTCTCGCTTCTCACAAGACTTCAAATTTCCAACTTACCGGGACGTTATGGTGCATTCATGTGCTATTGTAATTATGGTAAATACCAAAAGCCGACATGGAAAATGCACATGAACAACCCCTCATGTGGTATTTTCCACTGGGAATCTCGTATAATATTTTGATGCTCGAGCTGCCGAGATGAGATGAGGTAAAAATCGAGATATTTTCTTAACTGCAGAACAGCAAACTCGTTGCCTTTCTGTTCTAACATTAAAATAGGCTTTTAACGTGATTCATGCCAAGCTCAGAGGAGTTTTTAATTTGTGTGTGTGGGGGGGATTTTAATATCAGTACCTCTGAAGGGAACCATTCGTTTTCAGAAAAGTTTTGATGGCATTTTCCTTTCATGTTAACTCCATAAAATGCCAAATAAAGTAGTGTTTATTAGTGCTACTTGTGTAATGTGGCAAACATGGAACCCTGTTCTGCTATCCAGCTCCACCTACTGGAGAAAATGAAGTCTGCCTGTTTTATTTTGTATTTTTAAGTTAATAAAAAAAAAATCAGTACTGGTTGTGTAAAATAGGCAAATAATATAATATCAATATATCAATCAGTCTACCTCTTAATTTAATCTCATCACAGCATGTTTTGAGATATTTGCAAATTCCGCATCTCTGGCTAATAGAATCGACGTAGGATTGTATCGTGAAAAAGGGAGTTATAGCCCTATTAATTTATATAGCACTTTTCACAATAAAATCATCATGTTTGAAATTTTGTATGTGGTAAGGCAATGTTGAAAATTACTTTTGACCAGTCTTTAGAATGCTGAATTAAACCATGTTAATTTTGCATCATTTCTATACTTTTGCATATACTATAATAGTACTAATTAATACTGTCAGTGGGATTTATTAGAACATTTTCATTGTTTATATATTAAATTTAGTTTAACTTTATTAAGTTCTTTTGCAACTTGCAGTTGTTTTGGTTTTTATTTCTATATAGCATTATATTTTTTTTTATTAATTGCAGTACTTAAACAAACTTATTTTACAAAGTTGCCAAAGAAACATTCAAAGTTTAAGGTTTTCATCCAATGTTGATGTTTTATTTTAGCTTTATTTCAATTTCTGAAAAAAGATTTTTAATAGTTTTAGTTAACAACAATACTAGAAAGAAACACTTATGCCAAAATCAATAAACGTAAAGTTTTAATTAACATTCTTAACAATTCTCTTTAGCCCCTATGAAACCCCCTGCTTTAAAGTACAGGACATTTAACAAAAAGAAAAAAAGAAACTAAACCCTTACCACTGGTGGAGTTACCATTCCACATGTTTTCAGGTGGCTGTCATAACCATGTTGATGTGGAAAGCCCAGGCCACAGTTCTGGCAGAGACACGGCCGCTGAGCCACATGCCCTCCCATGTGTGACATAAGCATGAGTGACGAGCGGAAACCCATCCCACATTCAGCACATTTCAGGACCCTCTGGTGAGTGCTCCCATGCTTCTTTAATTCCTCAATGCTTGCAAAGACTTCTCCACACTCCATGCAGCGGATTTCGTCTTTCTTGGTAGGCAATACGCCTTGATGACCCCAACAACCTGTGTCCTTCTTATGCTTGTCAAAGTCCTCTTGACTCTGAAAGAAAACTAAACACGCCATGCACTGGATGCTCTCCGGCTTACACTCGTGGCTGTGGTAGAGAGAGGGCAAGCGGAAATGACGCTTGCACTTTAGACACGTATATGGCAAGACGCCCAAGTGAGAGAAACTGTGGCGCAACAGAGAAGCCTTGCTGGAGTAGGTCCGATCACAGTCCGAGCAGGAGAAGATGCCTACGTTGTGCCATTCCAAGTGACGGAGCAGCGAGTTGCGAAGGCGAAAACTGGAGCCGCATTTGAGGCACAAATGACGTTTCGCCTGTTGCCTGTGTGTTTCTACGTGACCCTTGCAAACATCTAGGTCGGTGAAAATCTGTTTGCAAAAATCACACTGGTAGAACTCTTTCTCGAAATGGTTGGTGTCCAAGTGTTGCTGGAGCTGTTCCTCTGTCTCAAAGATGGTTGAGCAAACACGACAGTGGATCGAGGCCTTGTGCGAGTGGGAGCGAAGGTGCGTGCGGTAATTGACTAACTGGCAGAACTGCTTGCCACATTCATCGCAGCGGTAGGGACGAACACCCGTATGCATATTTAAATGTTCTCGCAGTAGGAAGAGAGAGGAGAAGGTAAGGTCGCACACATGGCAGCGATTCCCTTCATTCTCTCCACATCCATTCGTCTCTGAAATCAAAGAAAAAACTTGAAATTTGTTATTCCAAAAATGTACATACATTTCTTTCATACTTTAGTCTATATAGAACGTAAAAAAGCAGCAGGAGCGAACTATATACATATCCTATATTGAAAATTAAGAATATGAATATTGTTGTCTATCTGTACTTCCAGGATTCTTCCCACCGGAAGCCTCGCTTTTGATTTCAAAATGGCAGCTGCGTGAGATCAGTGTGTAGGATGGAAATTACTAACCAATCAGTAATATTTGACATCTTATGCCATCATTATCCAGAAAAAGTGTTTATGAATTTATAGCTATAATAATTATAATATTTCAAATAAAAAACAAGCAGACTGCACTTGTTAATACAATAATGACACATAATTGCTTAAGATAAAATAATTAGTAATGTACCAATATTCTTTACTTTCCCTTTTCACTATTTTGCTTAAATTAATAAAAAATAAATTGATTATTTAAAATATTTCATAATATACATCAAGTACAGTATAAAAATTTGATATTTTTAGTTTTAGATTAATTTAAGCAATAACGATTATTAGTGCTAAAGATTTCAATTTATATGTTTATATATAGATTTTTTTTATTTTAAATGATGGCAAAGGTCATTAAGGAAAATGACCCAACACACACCTATATATTGTGCAATGTATTGCAATGTATTTTTTTTTTTTCTTGTGGTGGGGTGCAAAATCTCCAAAATACTGCATTAATTGAATCACAATCCATTATTTGGAAAACTATACAATACCTGGCCAGGAATCATCATCATCTTCATCCAAGTCCTCCTCAGCATCATCATCATCTTCCTCCTCCTCAACGACATCATCATCATCATCAGTCAGAACAAACTCCACATCCTCATCTGTCCTTTCTTCATTAGATATAGCGTCATCTGTCATAAGACTGCAGGCTTTCGGGCTCCCCTCTGAATTCTGTTCCTTTTCATAATTTTTCTTTACCTCTTGTCCACTTGGCTCTTCGTCATCATTTTTCTGTTCTGTCCCCTCTCTTCTTTCTCTTTTCCATGAATTGCAAACGACTTTATGCTCCTCTGAGAAAATGCTTTTTGAATTACCTTGAGTGGTTCCCTCTATAGATGAAGAGTCCTGTTTGAAGGGAAATGAATACTGATGGTCCAGCAGAAAGCTTTTGTCAGCTGATGCACTAGTGATAATGCAGGCATCTTCCTGGCAGCCTACAGGTATTTCAGTCTCAGGTGCTGACTTTTCAATGCTGTTCGGTGTTGGCAAAAATGTCTCCTTAACGTTCTGTGGCTCACAGAGGGGGAAATTCCAGCTTGGAAAACCTAACTCCGTCAGCTGGATATCGAGGGTAAACTCTGACATGGTGTCTTGAAGGGGGAAGAAATACTGTATCAATTTTGATATCAAGGCAAAGCCATCTGAATTTAATTGTATTATTATTATTAAAAGGTCGCATTTTTCACCTAGGCAATTTTAACAATAATGAGGTGAGAACTCATCCATTAATACCAATGCCATGAAATAGTAACCAAGCCTAACCTTTATTAACAAAATCAGAATATGAAATCATTTATAAATTAAAATAAATATAAATTATATTCGGACCCTGGTTGTAACATGATTCAAGTAGTATTAAAGAAAGAGATGTCTTGGATATAAACAGTGTCTACAACATCTATCATGGACTGCGTTGCTGCATGACACAAAGACATTTAAAACAGTTTTGTTCTGTCAATTCAACCACTACAGTGAATGCAGTAGTAAGCTTACTTCATTTAGATTACCTAGGAGTCTTCGACGAACATTTCCAAGCACCTTCGCTCCAAGATACTGTTCAGTAATGAAACAATTGATCTCTGATATTGGCGGGTTTAACTGCTCAAAAATCATATATTAGAAAAATTAGACACAACTGCATAATGCGAGATTTTAGCTACCGGCAAAGTCAAAATTCTTTTATCTCGCCTATGATAAAACTCAAATTAGGTTGCATGATGCATGAGCATGCAGAAGCAATAAGGTGAGATAAGCCACTGTCCATGCGATACTTCCGGTATAAAACAGCTGCTGGGAGTGTTGATGCTGCCATCTGTAGGAGGGGAGAGGAGTTAGAGCGGTCTTCATATACAAACAATAAAAGGGGACATGTTGCCGTAATAATTTTATCCTTATGTTTTAAAATAATATTAGGTATCTTAGTTTGTGAAAGGGCAGAAATTAGTATTATATACTTGCACATACGTTTCGCAACGCGTGGCTTTGTTTCGGATCTGACCGAACCATCTTTGCGTTTATAATCAACACCAAAGAACAAGACACATTACCTGGATGGCAAAACTTTTATGTTATTATAGGATGACCAACAGTCCTGTTTTCCCAGGATATGCGCTGTCCTGGCTGTTTTCTTATGAAGTGATGAAATGTCCTGGTTTTCCAGCTATACAGCAAAATATTAGATGGGCAAGGAGGATGAGGCAGAAAAAACAGGATAAAGAGGAAGAAAACTAAAGATATAAATATATTTTGTTAGTTGATTTTTGTCAGTTTGTGAGAGCTATTTTTGTTCAATTTGGAGGTATTTCTTTTAGTTATTTATATTTTTATAATACAGAAGACATTATTTTTTATTATTATTTCATTCATAATTTTTGAACCCTGTTATAATAAAACATGTTGAGTAACCTCTTAAAAAGCCTATCTGAATTTGTCTTGTAATACAACAATTTTCTATCCATACAGAGTAGGCATAGTCTACTTTAAAGGCATTGAAATTAAACATCTTTGAGTAAACTTCGAGTATCCTTTGAGTATGTTTGCTGGGCCAAGTGTCATGGTTTTTGGTAATCAAAATATTGTCACCCTATGTTATTATGGTGTCTCAGTACGTTGCTTTTCTCTACTATTCAAATAGATAGTCTGAATTGTTGATGTCATAATTTTTTTATTCTACATGAAATTTAACATATTTATTGATTTGCGCAATCCTTCGTACTTGAATGTAGACCTCTAAAAATTGAATACGCAACCGCCCCTCATAGTGAGATCAGACCAAGTTGTTCACCAATTCATATTAGTTCAGCACAGAGCAAATATTTAGCAGAAGTGAAATGCTGCAAACAAACAGGTTTAGATATGGGGTTCCTTTATCAACCTGTTTTTTCTAACGTTAATAGAATGCAAAAGAAATTGCTGTTGTGGGCAAATAATTAATAGCAACACAGAAAAAAATCAGATGACATTGAAAAAAATTTTCAATTAAGTATTCAGATATTTACTTCACTCAGAGAACTGTCTTAGTTTTGTGGGTAACATTTAAGTTCAAGTCAAATGTCAAATCATACCAGTAGAAAATGAAAACGTTTGAAATAAAATTTAGCCAGATTTCATCAGAAAACAATCATTTAGAAAATCTTTCCACTCAACATTGATTGTACACACTTCTAAAAATAATGTAAAAACAATAACACATTATATTCATAGAAAAAACTTTAAAATTTAAAAAAAGAAAAGAAATAAAAACAACAATGTGAAGCCTTAGACAATTTTCCATGGGTTTCTCTTGATGGTATTAGTTACAACATGGTTATCCCTACAAATGAGAATTCAGTCGTGGTATGAATCCTTTGTTACTTGCCATGCCAAAGCTATGTACAGACGTCAAGATACAATGAGGCATCCAAACATGGATACCGTTAGTTAACTGTGAACACACTACCCTTTGGGTTTCCAGTTTTCAAATAACATGTTCACATAGTGTTGATCGAGCGCCACACAGTTGAAGGATTCCCACTGTTACAACTTCAAATCTAAAGTGAACCCTGTCCCCCCACCTACATTTCTATACACAATATTTAAAAAAAAATCAAATTCGTCTTCTGATAACATAGACCCTCAAAATTCTCCCGAACTGAATTATCTCTTTCCGACTAGCTTCTCTTCTTTTCCATGGCTCTGTTGATGAGCCTTCAGGTTACTTTCTCTGCCAAAGCTTTTTCCACATGTGGGACAGGTGTACCGACCAGCACTATGTGCTCTTGCCATGTGAGCCTCCAGCTGCGCAGGTCGGTTAAAACTCTCCTCACACTCTTCACAAGGGTGAGGCTTACGCTGGGTGTGCTTCTCTTTCTTATGTGATCGAAGTTGCGCCAGGGAGGCAAAATTGAGGTCACATTCAGTGCAAGGGATCTGCCGGGCCGGCTGAGGAACAGCTTTCTTGTCATCATTTTCTGCTTCATCATCTTCTGCCTTAGGCCCCTGGGTAGATTTGGCTGGGCGTCCTCGTCTTCCTCCTGTCTTCGATTCAGCCGTGGCTGGTGTTGCAGAAGCGTCTTCTGAATTGTTGGTTTCCTCAGGCTCCTCTGCCTCGTCTTCCTTCTTTCGCTTTAGTTTCTTTTCACTGGCAGCTGTGGCCTCAGTTTTCGGCGGTCTCCCTCGACGTTTGATGGCAGCACTACCATTGCAGTGCCGGTCACCTGCGTGGTTCTCCTGATGCTGCAGGAGCTCTGCCTCCTCTTCAAACCCCCTTCCACATTTACCACACCGGTAGGTCTTTGTGGGATCCTCTACCTCTTCTTCATCCAGGGGCACGGGGTGCTGGGCCAAACGATGGTTGCGTAAAAGTCCAGGGCTTCGAAACGTCTCGTTGCATTCTTTGCACACAAACTGACGTTCAGGGCATACCTGCCGTCGATGCGTTGTTAACTTGTGGAAAGAAAGTAATGCATGTTGAATTGTTATTAAACATAGGCTTACATTTACAATTATTCAAAATCCAAATATAAGCATGGAATGTGTAAGTCAACAGTACATAGTTGCCCAAGCATGTTCGCTTGACAAGCTAGAACCAATGAGGTTCATTCTCGTGTGTTAAGCAGCACGTTTGAGTAGGCTTGGGCGGTATTACGGTAATATCGTATACCGCGGGATCTTAAAATAGCAACGGTATCATTTTCAATATCGTCATACCGTCAGAAAAAAAAACAATGCACTTAAATAGGAGACAAGGAATCCTTGTCTCCTATATAAGTGCAATGTTTTAAATACAATTTATTTAATGGCTAAAATGCTTATAGCTGGTTCTCATGACGTGACAGTGTGGTGACGAGAGAGTGGGGGAGAGAGGGCAAAGATTGCAAGTTAAAGATTGCACTTAAATATAAGCTGGTTGAAAAAAAAAAAGTATTCCTTTCATATTTCTTTAATAATATGATGTTTTTCTATGTATGTTGATTTTATGAAAAGGGAACTTCATGAGATGAATAAGATAAGATCATAAAATGCGCAATATCGGAAAACATTTGGAATGGGTCAGTCAGACATGATTATGACCACTTATTACGTTTTGTTTTGTAGAAATCCTTTCTTTAAAACGAATTTCGTTTAGAATAAATTGCATCTTCATTTATTTATTTTTTTTCATCAACGAATTGCCTGGATTAATTAATAAAAAGCAAATATAGTGATCAGGACACGCGCCGGCGCGTGACTGGAGCGCGACTCATGAACTGAACCTCGCATATAAGAAACAAGATCTGAGCAGTGTACATATACCCAGGTGAAAAAGACGTTGTATTAAATGTATTAAAAATATATTTGAAATACAAATAGTGTGTTTATAATACATTTGTATTTACAACATGCTTATTTAAAGTGTACTAAAAATGTATTTTATTGCATTTTAGTATATTTCTAAAAAGTATACTAGAAGTACATTGGTAATAAATATATATTTAATTACACTTTTAAGAAATTTAATGTATTTTATAAAAAGTATATTAGTGATATATTGGTAATAAATGTATGCTTTATTATATTTTTAATAAATATGCTAATGATAATTATACTTTAAATGTATTTATAAAAAGTATATTAGAAGTACATTGGTAATAAATATATGTTTAAATACACTTTTAAGAAATACACTATAGAAAAGCATACTTTTAATGTATTTCTAAAAAAGTATATTATTAGTACATTGGTAATAAATGTATGCTTAATTATATTTTTAATAAATATGCTAATGACAATCATGCTTTAAATATGTTTCTAAAAAGTGTACTAGAAGTACATTGGTATTTAATTACATTTTTAAGAAATATGCTAAATACAAACATATTTTAATTATATTTAAAAATGTTTTACTAGAAACGCAATGCTAATAAATATACACTTAATTACACTTTTAGAAATATGCTAAAAACAAACATAGTTTTAGTGAAGTTTTAGTGTCTTTACAGAAAGCATACTTGTTGCTAAATTAAAGTATTTTTTGTGTTCACTTCAAGTTTAAAAATTCAAGTCCCTTTAATTCCCTTCCTAACATGTAGGCAATTAAACATGTATCGGAATTAATTGTATATTTCTACAAAGACTAGAAGTAGCACTTTAATTATAAATATGTGCTCAGTTAAGCTTTTAAGAAATATACCAAAAACTACCACACTTTTTGTAATACTACCAACACTTAACTCAATGCATATGTATTTCACACTTTATATTATGTGTTTTAGGTTTAACTTTTTTAAATTAATTTGTTATAATTATGAAAAGCACTAAAATTTGACTAACAAGTAATGCACTTCTATACTTCTGCATTAATTAATCAAATAGTCTTTTCCACAAAACAAGTGAATACCAGTACTTGCACACATCAACATAAAAGATCAGGTGTACATACTAGAAAAACAAAATAAATTTCTTAAAGCTTGACTCTTACATTTGTTTAGCCAAAATTAATTAAAAAAAACTTGTTATAAAGCATGTTAGGTTTATATTAACAGAGTTGTTTCTTTTTTTGTGGATGTTAGTTAATATTTCCAGTTCAATTCATTTGGACCAATCAGAGCCAATCTTTTCAAAACAAGCTTGCCGGCAATTGTCCAATCACACACTGCCATTTGAACTTACATGTTGGGCGGGGCGCGGACAGCGGATACTGACTGTCACTGTGGTATTCCTAGATTTCCTACTTCGGATATTTCAACAGAAATCATGTATATTCCAAATTTTGCTTTGTTATTTCACTGACTCTGACCTAGTGAATGTGGATAGCACCGATCTAATATTAAGAGAAAACACGAGCAGATTACCAGGTCGTCAGCTCCCGCGAACAATTTAGCAGTGAAGAGGACAACGCAGAGCTGCGCCGCCACGACATGGACAGAGCAAGATACTGCCAGAAAAGATCTTACTTCTTGGTGGTAAGTTTATTAGTTTAAGTGATTAGTATAATTGGCTTTATTCTCACTTTGGGTTTAGAAAATATTTTCAGAAGTTGATGTCGATGTTCTGTGGATTACTGGCGTTTCTGTTGATTTGACACTAAAGCGAGTTAATCCATTGACGTCTATCAACTTAATTGTTATAGATCTAGACAGTGACATAAAACAACTATAAAAACATTGCACACTGTGTTTGCAGAAAAAAGGTTATTAATGGTGATTACACGACAGGCTTGATTGTCCCTAAGTAACTTCTTGTGTTTTAAATATTATAATATATTTTAAGCTCTAATAAAACTTTCACATCTCATCTGTGATATTTAATTCATAGTAAAATCTAATTAATTATTAGTAGGCTGTCAGTTTTCATGTCAATTCGATAAATAAATTGTAATCACCAACTATAAGCTTTCACAAAACCAATTATTAAATGTCTTGCACTGAGAAATTAAAATGATGTTAAATAATGAAATGAGAGATTTTATATTTAATATTTAGCCTAGCCAAGGAATTTGCACATTGCAAAGACATTTTTTTTATTAAACCTAACCGTGAGTAGATGAGGTCAAGTCGAGTAAGTAGTAGTTGATCCTCTTGATTTGTAACTTTTTGTTGGTGAAAAACAAAAAAAAAGGCAATAGTGTGTCATGTAGCAGCTAAGTAACTAAGTGACCTATTATATATTAACACGTATTTGAAAAATGAATATGTATTTTGCCTGATTATGCATTGAATTATGCAATCACATAATCGTGTTTTTCTCGAGGGACTGATTTATATGATTTTATGTGTGGTATTCAGCTTTTTTACATTTAATCAAGGCGTTATCAGCTGTCACCAACTTGTAACTTTCAATAGAAAGTTCTGTCTTTATTAATAATGAATAATTACTTTAATAATAGCGTGGAAGTTACAGTAATGGTTCATTAAATATGTTTCACCATTTAAACAAAATACAAATTATATATGAAGAACACAAACTAGTGTTTTTTCTGCCCTAACTTTGTATAACATGCGACTTTATTTTTTCTTATAGAGCTTCCAGGGATATTAGCATCTCTCAAAGAGGCCCTGGAGTCCATGAAACGAGGTTCATAAAGCTCAAGCCCAAGATCATCTGAGCTGTGTCTTCCTGAAACCTCAGAAATGGTTAGAAAATTCTTTATGATAAAGAAAAATCCTATTTGTTATAATAATTATATCTGACTTTTTGTGCATTAAGTGTTCTGAATTAAGTAACAAAGTGACAGCTTTTTATTAGAATTATAAATGAACAAGTTTATACTAATGCTTGTTTTTTTTTTATTCTTGCCAGATTTCCCTCTGTGTTTCTGATGTCCCCAAAAGAGTCTATGGCAGACTGAACAAGTCACGAACTTCTCTTTTTACTCAAGATTTGGCCACTTTACTTTTTGCTATTGTATTTCACTTTGTTTGACTTAAAGGATTAGTTCACTTTAAAAAAAAAAAAAAAAAACCTTTAGCTGATAGCTTACTCACCCCCATGCCAAGATATCCATGTCATTCTTTCTTCAGTTGAAAAGAAATTAAGGTTTTTGATGAAAACATTTCAGGATTTTCTCCATATAATGGACTTCATTGGGGACCAAACGGTTCAAGGTCCAAAAGACAGTTTCTGTGCAAACTGTTCAAAGGGCTTTAAACGATTCCAGACGATGAATAAGGGTCTTATCAAGCGAAACGATCGGTCATTTAAAAAAAAAAAACCACAAGTTTAAGTTTTATAAGCTCAAATGGTCGCCTTGCTCTGTTCTGTTATGCATGTTCATGATTTTCCTATTTGAACTCGTTCATTAAAATTAACAAATCTTTTTCCGAGTCATTAGGTTCATTCAATGAACGAAATGAATGAATTGACTCGAAAAAAGATTTGTCAGGGCTGCCAACTCTCAAGCATTCAGCACAAGACTCTCGCAATTGAGCCAATTCTCATGCTTTCATGACAAATTGACTGTTAGCCATTGGACCCTGAACCGTTTGGTTCCCAGTGATTATATGGAGAAAATCCTGGAATGTTTTCATCAAAAACCTTAATTTCTTTTCGACTGAAGAAAGAAAGACATGGACATCTTGGAAGACATGGGGGTGAGTAAATTATCACCAAAAGTTTTTTCAAAAGTGAACTACTCCTTTCAGTTAGTTTATTTATTTATTTATTTTTGTTCTGTTTAATACCTCTGCAAATCAATGCATTTTATGTTAATGTATTTTGTTTAGTTTTCATAATGCTTTACTGATGTAGTGCATTAAAGTTTATCTTTCAAAGAGTGTTTGTGTGTTTTGTAGAAATATTTTTTTTATTGGGTTTTGTTGAATTCAAATGTTTAAATGTATTTTTAATACATTAAAATATATTATTTTTATATTAAATGGTTTTTGGAAAAATATATTTTTAATATGTTAATAGTGGGTCCAATAGTGTTCTACTAATACATTATTAATAAGCTGAAATTATATTTAAAATATACTCAGAACGCATTAATGTGAAGCTAAAAATATACTAATGCTCTATTTCTAAAGTCTATTTAAAGTGTATTAAAATACACTTTAAATAAGTGCTATTATATTACATTAAATGTACTTAAAATGGTTCCATTTTAGCACAATTTAGTATAATAAAATATATTACTATTACCTTAAAATTGAACTTAAATACATATTAAAGTACACTTAATATACTTGAAGTTGTTTCAATTTAGCACATTTAATACATATTTAATACGGTACACTTAAAATACATTAAGTATATCAAAATAAGTACAATTTAAATATATTTCCTTTTCACCTGGGTATAGTAAGCTTGAAATGTCTTCTTTAACAATATAAAAGAATTTAGCTGCTCTCTGCTTATGTTTAGGCTAATTCATATGAAGTGAGCATTACTCTTTATTCGCGTTCACTACCGCGAAGATGCGAGTTTGCATGCAATCTTTATCTTTGCAACTGACATAGAAAACATGTTGGGTCAGTCAGACATGATTATGACCACTTATTACGTTTTGTTTTGTACAAAGCCTTTCTTTAAAACGAATTTCGTTTAGAATAAATTGCATCTTCATTTATTTATTTTTTTTCATCAACGAATTGCCTGGATTAATAAATAAAAAGCAAAGATAGTAATCAGGACACGCGCCGACGCGTGACTGGAGCGCGACTCATACATGAACTGAAACTCGGCATATAGATACATGTCTTAATGATCTGAGAAGTGTATATACAGTATATAGTAAGCTTGAAATGTCTATACTTTTAAACAAAACAATTACAAGCTAAAAGAAATGGGCTGCTCTCTGCTATAGGCTTATTCATATGAAGTGTGCATTAGGCTACTCTTTATTCGTGTTCACTACCGTGAAGATGCCAGTTTGCATCGTCAATGCAATCTTCATCTTTGCAGCAACTGACATAGAAAACACTAGTTTATTAATAAATAATTTTATCTCGGCTCGCGTCGAGAGCTCGTGGCGCTTGATCTTCAGAAATGCGCTCCCCTCTCTTGAGGAAATATCACCACTCTGCTCACATTCTCTGGTGTGAGACAATGTGTATCTCCTGTTTTCTAATAGTTGATTGACAGCTTTTAGATGCATTATTGGAACCGACACTCTCTGGCTGAACGTGTCATCATGTGTGATGCCGTCTGAGCCTTATCTCGTAATTTTTAATTAGTTACGCGGTAATACCGTATACCGCGGTAAAATAGGGAGGAGGTTTGACGGTATGAAAATTTGGATACCGCCCATGCCTACGTTTGAGCTTCCACAGGAACCAATGAGGTTTGTTCTCACATGTCAAGCATGTATGGGTGAGCTTTAGTTTATATTCGCTAATCAGTGTTTATATGTCAATACACACCTGTTCATCATTTTAAGATAGCGAGCGTCTCTTCAGAAAAATTTGGACTAAACCGCTTAAATCAGATGGATTAGTAATACAATCTCTTTAAGAACGTTTTGAAGCGTCAAAGTAGTAGTCTGTCGACTGAGGGCCAGATTTCATCAAAAAGATCTTCATTTGTGTACCAAGCATGAATGAAAGTCTTATAGTTTTGGAACGACATGACAGTGAAAGGATTCTTTTTTTTTTTTAAACTAATCCTTCAAGATACTTTTATACTTTATACTGCAAAACATCACATTAAATGGACAGAATTTAATAAAAAATATGTGAAATACATAAGTATAAAAGAGTCGTTCAAGCATTTTAAGTTCCAATTTATGTAAACCTCCTCTTACCTCTGAGAAGGTGCGGAAGCTTTCTTGACAGTGTGCACATTTGAAGGGCTTGTCCTCCTTGTTGTGGGTCGACTGATGTTGTGTCAGCTCCTCAGAAGAGGGGAAGGTTCGATCACACACGTAGCATGTGAACAGAGTATCGCACTGTTGATGCAAAGGGAACAGGTATGTGAACATGCATCCTTTTCAAACCAAAAAAATGTCATGTTTGAATGAACATTTAAAAACAGATTCAGATTTTTGCATTTTGTGTCTCTTTTAAGTTTATTAGTAATATTTATTAGTCTATTGAATAAGTTATAATAGATATATGGCGGCATAACTATTTCGCAAATCATACATCACTAGCATGCATGGACTCAGACAGTTATATTGCATCCATCCACAATTTAAAAATAAAAGAGAAGCACAGTGAAAATAACTACTCCTTCCTCTGAAAAAGCATTTATTTCACCTGGAGGCAATCTTACAATATCTTACAATCTAACAATATCTGAAACAAAACCACTTGATAAATTGTAGAGTAGATTAAACCAAATAAATATATGTAATTTAATAGCATTAACTGATAACTTAAAGTACTTCCAGTCATTTTGACAGAAACAAATCTGGTCTACTGGTGAAAAAATCAAACTGTGAACGTTGTAAATGACTGAATCCTAAATAATCAGAGATATGCGCTTCTGTGCTATCACTAACCTGCTGAAGTTGCTGCTTGTATTCTTCCCGATGACTCTTCTTCATGTGCCTTTCCTTGGCTTTTGAGTTGCAGAAAGTAATAAAACACTGGAAACACTGCAGGCTTTCATGCTGATCTAAACACACAGAGAGAACGACAAATTTAAACATCGATATAGGAGGCAATGCCAATTACAAGTTTATAATAAAGGTATATGCCTAGTGTAACAATAAGACAAAAAAACTCTAAAAGTAGTATAACATATAAGCATAAGCATAAAATATAAGCATAACAGGATAATATTAATCCAGTAATATCTGGATCCTGGAATATTTAATCATGTCCTTTCTATCTTTTTCTTTTTTAGTAATCTTACTACTCAAGACTTGATTCTAAATAAAAATGCTAGGACACCAGTCACCATTACACTATTTGAAAACTGGCATAACACTGCAACAGGTGCAAATTAGAAACATGCATTCAAAAGCTGGAGGGACATATTTCCAGTACAAAATCAATGATTTCCCATCACACTTACACGACTGAATCATAGGAGGTGGTGCACGGTTCTGAATGGAGGTGGTGTAAGCAACCTCTGTCTTCACAGGAGGCAGTTCAGCAGGGGCAGCAGTCTCTCCACCGCCCATTACTATCTCCTCTATGTTCAGTATGTCAGCGTCCATACTTAAGGATTCAATGTACACCTGCTCTGCTGTTAATTTCACTGTAACGAAGACAAGATAGTCTAAATATTCAAATATAGGGTATAAACAAGTGTGCATACATCAAAAAATCCCATCACCAATTTAAAAAGTGCCACTCAAATTAATAAACAACGTAATTTAACCGTTTCTACATAGCCTAACGTTACTTCAGCTTTCAGAATGAAGTTTTACGTGTCAACCGAGCCATTAAAACACAACATAGCTGGCAAGCTTAAAGTAAGGTAACGTTACATTCGATTACACGCACTAATAACTTATTCACTGCAGCCCAAGTATATTCCATAATATTTATAAAAAAATAGTTTCATTTTAGAAAACAGATACCGAACGTCTCCAATCGTGCGTTTTAGAGCCGCCTACCGTTTGTTCGCATTAACTAAGCTATGCTAAGCTACATGCTACCGGCTAACGAGGCCTACGTTGGCCTTTATCATCTGCAAACTAAACCATTGCTATCGCTAACAAGCGCATTACTTCAATGTATTGAAATTAGTCCCACTACCAATGCGCCGATATCAGTAAAAACGAAACTTTAGCAGTTTAAACGGCGCAATGCGTTTCTTATTTAGCTATTAAGCGGCTAGCATTACATTAGCAGACTGTTAGAGTTCGAGGTTAAACTTGTTGTAGAGTAAAAACCAAGTTCGCTAGCCAAAGCCGTATCAAACAAAGCCCAAAAGAGGGAAATATTAATATTTTAAGTTATTTAAATCTGGGTATTTAAAAAATAATTCAGCAGAATTCTTACCTGAAAGAGAATAACCTTTTTGTCTGGGGAGAAAACGGATAAGCCAGACATAAATATGAAAATAAAGGGGGCGCAAACGTGTAGTCAGTGAACCGCTGCTAGACTGAAAAAACCTGCATCACGTGCCAAGGCGTCCGCTGTACTTTCCATTGTGTTCGTGAAAAAGCAGAACAGGTATCGAAATGCCTTGTTTGCCATGCAAAATAAGTCAATCGCTTCTAAAATTAGATAATATTGTTAATTTTGTAGCCCGCGTGTAAAATAATTGGACATGCAATGATAATACATATAATATAATCTATATATTAGGTTACATATTTAATGCATTAAACGATGTTTATCATAAAAAGATTGAGCTCGTACTATAAAATTTTAAAGCTTTTATTTCATACAAATAAACTGAAGATGCTTTCGCAGTGCACAATGAGCAGAAACCATAATAATGAATGATGAAATGAAAACATCACATTCTAAACACGAACCTTTTCTTTTTTAGTGAATAAAAAGCAAATAACATAGGACACATCCTACTGTTTGCTAGGTGTAAAATAAAATATTATTCATAAAAAAGAAGATACTTAAATCTTAAAAGTACATAAAAAGAAGATATAACAATCACATTAAAACATTGTGTAACAACTACACAACCTGGACAAGAATAGATATACGTAGGTGGCTCATGGTTTGGCATGAGTCATGGTAAGCAATAACTTAACAATTAACCATCTTATTTATGTAAATGAGTAAATATTATAGTTTAAATGTTCACAGTCTGTAATTCTCATGAAGACCCCTGACTGTGAAACTTCAGGAAACAGTTGTGGTTTCGAGAAATGCACAGGAACACACAGCATTTGAGACAACGCACACGTGATGTTCTCTCACAGCCTCCAAATCTACACCTCCTGGCCTCCTCGCCCTCTGCTAGCTGCTCTGGCCAGTGGCCAAAGCCATCGTACCGTGTGTGTACATCCGGCAAAGGGCTCTCAAGAACCCGAGAAGGTCTCGAGTTTGTATCTGGTCCATGTAGTTTAGGAGCAGGAGGGCAGGGGGGTGATGAGTCTTGAGCATCAAAGCCACTGGAGAGAATCAGTGCTTTGGCCACCTCCAAACGAAATGCCATAAGTGATAACATATCTGTAATATGACTATTATTTTGCTTATACTGTATCCATGCATTTACCAACACCAGATCGATCAAGTCCCAGAGAACAGAATGTGGCCAACCACTGACTGCTGAATTTGTGCATGGAGTGCGATAAAGACTTCTCAAGTCACGGTTAAGATTCGCAGTTTTAATCGCTCGCTCAAAGCCACTGACAAGAGATGTTGAACGTGGCTTCTCCTTTACCACTGCAGAAAGGATAAAGCCATGATGACATCTGAAAAGTTTGAGTTTTCCATCTGAGCTCACAAACTCGTCACCTATTTGCCCTCTTGCCCCACCAACCTTGCCAGCGCTTTGCACACCCGCCTCTAAAAGATGCTCTAGCATGGAAGGTGTGGAAAGCTCTGGTTTGCAAAGAAACACCATCCCTTCATTTCTGTCTTTACCCCTAGAGACCATTTTCTCCACTACGTTTTCTCTATTGGAGTCATCTGCACTCAAGTTGAAGTCCACAACCAACCCTCCACCACTTATGACAACTGTGTGAAGTAATGAATGGGTTGGGTGTCTTTGAAAAGGAAGGGGGTACTGGTCGACCCCAAAGCTTCCATTTCGCTTCAGTGCCCGACAACCGGCTTGAACTCTTCTAATCAATGGCATTACCTTCCACAAATGATTTGCCTTTGAGTTTGCACAATTTTGTGCCTCCTCATCACTGTGCACTTCATTACTCCGTCCAGGCTGGTATCGAATACGTTCTTCAGACTGCTGATCTTTACTCATCTCCATGGAATCTCCACCAGAACTGGCCAGCTTCACTTTACGAGTGAGCTCACAGAATCTTGAAGCCGTCATGGCATCCGAGATCAGAGGTACTCGTGTGCAGTCCTCCCAGTAGAGCTTTGTGCTGGGAAACTTTGTGGTAGGAAAACAGAAAAAGAGTCTCAGTTTAGTTTTATGAAAAAGTAACCATAAGATACAAAAAGATAACAATAAGATGGTGACATGGCTGATCTGACAAAAATCAATCTTTATCATTATTATTATATATTATCCATATATATTTACATATGGAATATTTTATAATTACATTTAAAAGAACCATATGGAAAAATATATATATTGTTTAACATCACAGTTTTAAAATCTGAACTTGGAAATATATTTTCCATTTTTTTACATCATTCATGACAATAAATACAATCAAAAGACAAGCATTGATAATATATATATATATATATATATATACTGTATGTGCACACTTTTTAAACCTTGCACTGTTGCTTAACCCAGGAAAATGAAATGAAAAATAAACAAATAAATAACTGTAGAGAATTTACCATTTAGGGGCAATATTTTTGTTCAAGGCATTTAACAAACTCACATAATATGTGCAAAACAATATAAAGCCATTCATATTACCGGTACACGTTTTCTTGACCATTTGAAATCTTTTTTTTCCATACCTTAAACGTCAAGGAAAATGTTTGTCATCATCTTTTGAGAATGATCCATTTTTCAGATTTTGTAATGCACTTGTGTTATAACTAACCTTCAGAGTTCCCATTGCAATGTGGATTCCCACATACTGTGCAATCTCTTTTTCTGTGACAGGGTTTGCCAGTTGTGACGTTTCCCTTGTACAGACGGCAATTTCATTCCACGTGTCCAAACTAAAATACTGATTAAAATAGTGAATGGGCTTCCAGTTGAGCTGCCTTTCCGGTTCTGTGTCCCTTGTTGGAGAGGCACCCATGGTTCTAAAGAAGAGATACAAACAGGTTTTAAAGATTGATTTTGGCATACCTGGTATCTTATGTTGCGCTAACAACACTCACGTTCTGACACATCTCTCTGTGCCCTTTTGATGTACAGTATCATTACACTGTATTCCATGGTAACAGGACATCACAATGGTTTCAGCTTCTGGTTCAGAATGGACATTATCGACATCATCTGTGTCTGAATTATCAGAGAGAAATTCTAGAAAGCTCTGGGTTCTCTGCTGTTCAGCACTAACATCACCTACAAAGACAATTTAGCACATTCTCAAACGGAGTTCACAGAACAGAACACACATCAATGCATTAACCTGGCTATTCTTTTATTTACCCTCTTCAGAGTTTGTGTTCAGATGTTGCATGTCCATTTGTACCGAATCCACCCTGATTTCCTCACATTCTTCAATTCCAGATGAAGCCCCTATGTATAACATGCACAACAAATGTATTTGATACTGCACATAATTCCAAATTAAATTATTTAAGTACATCTTAGAAATCCAGAATTTTGTTCCCCACCTGCAAGCTCCCCCGAATCTAAGGATGCATGTTCTGCATGAGGAGTCTCCACTAAATGTTCTCGCTCTTCCTCCTTAACAGGATAAAAGATACATTGCTTGCTGTAGGTCTGCGGGGGCACTACACGAGTGTCAGAGGAGGTGCCATCTCTGTTCTTCTCTGCAATAGGAATAAAAAAAAATGTTTTTTTTACTAATACATTTAGTAAAAAATTATACAGTTGTATTAGAAAAAAATAACCAAGTAAAAAAGAAAGAAAACAAACAGTAATAATGTTGTAACATCAAAGTAATATGAATAAATAAAAAGTGGTAAAAGATAACACCAGATAACATCTGGTTAAATGTATTTTCTGTATGTAAAAAAAAATATTAGACCTTAATTAAATGTAAAAAAATAATTAAGGTCTAATCATTTAGTTACAACTGACCTTGACATGCAACACGGTGAGGATCTGTGGGCTGGAGTCCCTGAAACATCTCATTCGTAGTCAAGTGGTCTTCTGCTTTCACGATAAACATCTGTACTCCACGCATCAAACAACTCTGAGACAAATTTGAAGAACGTTCTTCTATTTTCATGTCAGAAGATGTGTAAGCTGAAGTCACTTTATTGGCACCCAACTTGGAGTTTGCCTTTGATGAGAATACACAATACACATATTCGATAATTTACATGACACAATATATAAGGGGTTTAAAAGTTATTATTCAAATGTTGAAGGACAACATCTAAAAAGTCTGAAAAACATGCCGAAACTCTCACCTGTCTAATCTGACTCTGGGTGTTTGGATTTTCCATATTTTTCTCACGCGCTGTCAAGTATTTTTCCAGTATGATTCCAGGAGAGTTGCCGTCTCTGACAAGCTCTCTAGATGTCTCGAATGATCCATCTTCAGAGTTCACAATGTCCATTACACTTGTAGTAACAGAGTCCAACTCAAAAATGACCTGTTCCTCAGGAGCCTCCTCAGAAGACAATGGTTGACAAGTTTCAGAGGCATTAACTACATTTTTGTCCGTTTCTTTCTTCTTTCTCTCTGGAGTGTCAAGTACACACATATGATAGAGCACTTGGCATTCTTGTCGATCCTTATTTCCTTCAAAATCCTTTTTACTTTTGTTTTCTGTGCTGCTACTTCTTCCAACTGGTCTCTTGCCCTGGCTTCTTCCAACTACTTTCTTACCCCTTTTCACAGAATGTCCTCCCATCACGCTTTTATGATCATCCACTCTCCGTACAAGTACCTCCTCTTCTTCTTGCTTTATCTCTGGTTCAGTAAGAACTTTTTGAGTTACTTCATCAGCATCTCTTGCAGGCTCTTGGGTCGGAGGACTTGGATTGCTTTCTTCATTTTCATGCTCTTGAGAGACACCTGAAATGTTATTTAACTGAGTGTTATGGCTCTCGTCCTGATTTTGGTCTCCAATCATGACTAAATTGACACCTATGGGCAGTTCTTCTTTAATTTCTTCCTCCATTGCATCTTTAAGTTCAGTGCAAGAAGTTTCTGTGATGGTCCCAACATCATTGTTCTGTTCTTTTTCTGACACACCCTCACTAGCATTTTCAGGTAGCTCTTGGGGCACGATACTTTTGACTAAGGCTGGGGTAGACATCTGTGAAGGGATCTCGCAAACTTCTAAAGGATTTTTTTCAGGAGGTTGCACAGTCTCAGGAACAATTCCTTCAACATATTTGTCTCCTTCTTGT